AAAAAGTATTTCGAAGGTGTAAAGAAAAAAGGTATCAAGGTATAATAAACTAAAACATGAAACATTAACGTATGAATAGTCATTATGGCAAGGTATACAAATATTAATATGCAATGTAAAAATTGAGTTATGCGAAAAATTAGTTACTTTAAATATAATAAATTGTAATTAAGAGGTGGAAGGTCGTCCAAATAAAGGAATACACACTATTTTGAAGGTGTAAGGAATAAATTTATCAAGATATAACAAACTAAAATATGAAACGAAAGTATGAATAGTAATTGTGACATGGTATTAAAATATTAATATGTGAAATGTGAAGTAAACATTATACAAAAGAAGAGAAATTATTTTGAAGGTGAAAAAAATTAAGCTATAATAAAATAAAATATGAAACATTAGTATGGGATGTGAAAATTGAGTTGCGCGAAGAATGAGTTATGTTAATTATAGTAAATTATAATTTAAAGGTCGGCCAAATAAAAAAAAAGTGTATAGAAAAAATTATCAGGGTATAATAATCTAAAATATGAAACATTGGTATGAATAGTAATTGTGGCAAGGTATAAAAATATTAATATGCAATGTAAAAATTGAGTTCTGCGCAGAATAGTATGATTTACTTTAAACACACACAATTATCTATTAAGTGTCAAAGTTGAACTGAAATAAACGGAGCGATAATTTGAAATAAAATAAGGACTGGTTTTAATATAATAAAAGTAGATTTAAGTGTTTCACCTAAGTGCCTTAAGAAATGCAAACAAAATTAATTACACTTATAACTTGAAAGTAAGGTGTATTTCAATATGTAACACGGTATAGTCTGCAGAATTTTTTAAGTCCTTAATAACTTATTTTTTATTCGATTTTCTGCAATTTCTTTTAATATCACAAATTATTATTTTTTTAGGGTTATTTATATGTTTTTATTCCTAATATTTTGAATGTATATTAGAAAATTCACCTGTATTATAAATAAGTCAGTTATTAGCTTTTTACTAACTTTTACACTATTTTTATTTAATATATTTCTTGTGCGACAATTTCAACATCTCGATGTGGTATATTTTCAAATTTGCTTGTATTTTTTATTACGTTGAATATGCTTTATTTACACTGTCATTCGCACTGTATACATCAAAAATATAACCTAAAAAGGCTGGTATTGTAAGAAACTGTTTTTAGTATGACATGTTTTAGTGCGCGTCACAAATACAATTAACCACCCTGTAGCTTGCAATAACGATTGTAATACGCTGTTTTTGAGATATTGTTTTAGTGGATATGGCCCTTTATATATTGTTAAAAGCATATAGGTATTTATGTAAGAACAAATGCATAAGGCGTTACATTTTCGATTGAACTGGAATTTTCGAATTGCTTTTTTATTCAATTTTTTTAATATGTTTTGTCATCTAATTATTTTCTCTGTTGTTCTAGATGCATTTATATATAGTCGACGAAGGTTTTTTTTCAAATAATTCAAAAATTTCTATGATACTAATTATTGAGTTTGAGAAGAAAATTAAACAATAATAATAATAAATAAGCCAACAGGTATATTTAATTTTTGATAGAAGAAAATTAATAGGTAAACTAAAAAAGTTATAATTAACGCGTTAAAATTAATTAATTAATTATAGTTATAAATAATATTTAATTAATAGCTAGGTTACTGCTTTTTTATATGAACCAAACCTTGAAGAGACTCTATGTCTGTGTTATGTGTAATATGTAAATTTATATTAAATATTGGCAATTTTAATAATTTTTCGAATGTATTGTAAATAACAACATACTAATAGTTGAATGAAAATTAATTTAATAGTTGAAAAATATCTATTTTAGGTTAAATTTATCTGGTTTTGTTTTAATTTTCATTGCGTTGGTATGTCCGGAAATTATAAGTATTAATATTAATCTTCGCATTTTCATCTCAGTATTATTTTATTAAAAACTTACAGGTATACAGAATAGAGAACAATCAATATAAATTCATCTAGGTATATTAGGTTTAATAATTGATATATTTCTATATTTTTTTATTACCTAAATACATACATATATTATTTAATTCATTTAAGTTCTTAGGTAGTTTAACTTTCTGTATTTTGTTTTAAGTCGTTTATTATTGGATTTCTTCCAGATTAACTTTTTTTTATAGTACCTTGATCTTATAGAGACCAACTCTGAGAGGTATGAAATCACTCAATTGATTGTTTCCAAGGTAATTTTTTTTTCGTGTATAACATTTATTTATTAAACGCTTCTACATTTTTATTTCAGCTTAGATGATTACTGAAAAAAAATTACATTTATTTTATTAATTTCATATTCTTAATTCAATATTTATTGATGTCTACTTTTATGAAGTTAATTTTGTTTTAGATTTAATTTTTTAGGTTTCTTTTACTTAATTCACTCAAATTTTTAGGTAGATTTTAAACTGTTTGGTGTTTTTTTAAGTACTTCTATAAAATTGAACTTGTATTTCATTTTAAGTCCTTTATTATTGGATTACTTCCAGATTAACTGTTTTTTTTATAATGTCATGCACTTGTACAGTCCCCAACTCTGACAGGTATACAATCACATAATTGATTGTTCAGAAGGTAAATTTTTATGTATACAGTTTATTATTAAATGCCTCTACATTTTTATTTCAGCTTGAAATTTTTAATGAAAAAATGAACATTTATTTTATTAATTTCATATTCTTAATTCAATATTTATTGATAACAATTGCAGCTTATGTTAATTCATCCTTATTAATTATGAGATTAATTTCACATATTAGTTTGTTATACATAAACATCAGCTATTTTATAGCACTCTGTATATTTTATTCTTTTTTCAGGTTAACAGATTTATTCAAAAAACATATTTATTTTAGTAATTCTACAGTGTTTTTTTATGTTTATAATTTGGCACATTGATTTATTTTCTTTGTGTTTCTCAATATTTTTTATGTATATTCTTATTAATACACTTTGATTTTTTAGAAATTATTGATAAATAACGAGGAAAATTATAATAAGTTTATTAATTTAATGTTTTAGATTTCTTTTTTAGGTATTTTTCAGATTTTTAAAAAATATCTTTATTTATTAATATTTCTTTTTTTTTTGTTTTATCTTTATTCTTAAATCACGATTATTAATATTAAGACTTTTTTAACATTTTTTGTCAGTATTTTTAAGCATGAAATTTGGAGGTATCCAAAAGAATAAGGTTTTAAATTTATATTTAGATTCCAGGTAATTTATTTTTTTATTTTTTCGATCTGTTTGTAAAATACTATCATTTTGAAATTTTCTGAGGTAATCTAAAATATTTGGAGGTACTTTTGTGTAGTATAATTCCTATAAAATTAAATGATTAGTCTTGATCAAATGAGTTTTTATCTCAAGTACATTATATCCTAACGATTAAAATTTAGAAAATAATAGCTGCAATATTTTAGATCACTTACATAACGATACATTCCCGATTCCAGTCTCAATCGAAAAAAAATTGAGTCGCTTCGCGCATTCTTGGTCCAGGGATTTGCTGCTATCATTAATATTTTTTATGATCTTGAGTGCAAGAAGTAGCGCACATGCATGGAAATGCCTTATGTTTTCGTTCAAGGAATTCTACTTAACATTATTTGCACCGTTTGAACCTTTGATCATGATTATTTTAGATGTTTTGTGGGATAATTCGCACCTGTTCGATTTAGAACGACATTGTAGAATAGACATTTATTTCTTCTTAATTTATATTTTTATTCTATGGCTTTTAATCCTCTTAATCAAGTTGATTGGAAAAACATGCGTGTATATATCAGATTCACTTAACTAAACTTTTGTCTTTCATCATTTTGGCTCAGAAAACTAAAATAATTTGGAGTGCATGAAGATATTCTGTAAAGGTGGATATTTCACGAAAAAGCTTATAAAAATAATGAGGTGTTTGTTATTGTTTTGTAATTAATAATTATGTATTGGTGTTATTAAGTGATTATAGCAAATATTACCAATAAATATTTATTATAAATATTCATATTTTAATATTGTGTGTAAACTGTGATTGTTTTATATTATATATGAGAATTGTAGCAAGGTATAACAATAATATTTGATGCGAAAAATGAGTTATGAGAATATAAAATGAGAATGAGTTATAGTAAAGGGCCCCTACTGCTAAGGTATTAAAAAATGCTTAGGAATGTGATGTAAAAAATGAGTTATGAGAGGAACGACGTATGTTAAATAAATAATTGAAAATCTAGGATGAAAGGTGTAAAAAAACTTATACACGATATAAATTAATATATAAAATTATTAGTATTCAGAAGGATGTTCTAAGGTATAGAAAATAAAAAAAATATTGGTTGTGAGAAGTAAGTTCATAGAATGAGTGAAATATACTAAATGACTAAATGATGATACCTATGAGGTGGAAGGGAAACTACATAAAAATAAAGCTATTTTGAAGGTGCAAAGCCAAAAAAGTAATTAAAGTATATATTAAAAAAGTATAGAATTATTAGTATTTAGGGTTATTGTACCAAGGTATAAAAATAAAATTATAACCTGTGAAAAGTGACTTATATACTAAACAGTAGTTTAGAGGTCGAAGGTCGGCCAAATAAAACCAGTAAAACCATTTTGAAGGTGTGAACCAAAAAACATAACTAAGCTATAAATTAAAATAGGTATAAAATTATTATTAAAACTATTTTGAAGGTGTACAGCAAGAAACGTAATTGAGCAATAAATTCAAATATGTATAAAATTATTAGCATTCAGAATTATTGTTCTAAGGTATAAAAAATAAAAATATAAGATGTAAAAAGTGAGAAATACACTAAAAGATAATTTAGAGGTGGAAGGTCGGCCAAATAAAAAAATATAAAATTATTTTGATGGTGTAAAGCAGAAAATGCAATTAAGGAATAAATTGAAATAGGTATAAAATAATTAGTATTCAGAGCTATTATGCTAAGGTATAAAAAATAAAAATATAAAATGTGAAAAGTGAGAAATATACTAAACGAAAATTTAGTAGTGGAAGGTCGGCCAAATAAAAAAATATAAAATTATTTTGATGGTGTAAAGCAGAAAATGTAATTAAGGAATAAATTCAAATAGGTATAAAATAATTAGTATTCAGAGCTATTATGCTAAGGTATAAAAAATCAAAATATAAGATGTGAAAAGTGAGAAATGTACTAAACGAAAATTTAGAGGTGGAAGGTCGGCCAAATAAAAAATATAAACATTTTTTGAAGGAGTAAAGCAGAAAATGCAATTAAGGATTAAATTAAAATAGGTATAAAATAATTAGTATTCAGAGCTGTTATGCTAAGGTATAAAAAATATAGGATGTGAAAAGTGAGAAATATACTAAACGAAAATTTACAGGTGGAAGGTCGGCCAAATAAAAAATATAAAATTATTTTGAAGGTGCAAGGCAGAAAATGCAATTAAGGAATAAATTAAAATAGGTATAAAATAATTAGTATTCAGAGAAAAATATAAGATATGAAAAGTGAGAAATATACTAAACGAAAATTTAGAGGTGGAAGGTCGGCCAAATAAAAAATATAAAACTATTTTGAAGGTGTAAAGCAGAAAATGCAATTAAGGATTAAATTAAAATAGGTATAAAATAATTAGTATTCAGAGCTATTATGCTAAGGTATAAAAAATAAAAATATAAGATGTGAAAAGTGGGAAATATACTAAACAAAAAATTTAGAGGTGGAAGGTCGGCCAAATAAAAAATATAAAATTATTTTGAAGGTGTAAAGCAGAAAATGCAATTAAGGATTAAATTAAAATAGGTATAAAATAATTAGTATTCAGAGAAAAATATATGATATGAAAAGTGAGAAATATACTAAACGAAAATTTAGAGGTGGAAGGTCGGCCAAATAAAAAATATAAAACTATTTTGAAGGTGTAAAGCAGAAAATGCAATTAAGGATTAAATTAAAATAGGTATAAAATAATTAGTATTCAGAGCTATTATGCTAAGGTATAAAAAATAAAAATATAAGATGTGAAAAGTGGGAAATATACTAAACGAAAATTTAGAGGTGGAAGGTCGGCCAAACAAAACATATAAAATTATTTTGAAGGTGTAAAGCAGAAAATGCAATTAAGATTAAATTAAAATAGGTATAAAATAATTAGTATTCAGAGCTATTATGCTAAGGTATAAAAAATAAAAATATAAGATGTGAAAAGTGGGAAATATACTAAACGAAAATTTAGAGGTGGAAGGTCGGCCAAACAAAAAATATAAAAATTATTTTTGAAGGTGTAAAGCAGAAAATGCAATTAAGGATTAAATTAAAATAGGTATAAAATAATTAGTATTCAGAGCTATTATGCTAAGGTATAAAAAATAAAAATATAAGATGTGAAAAGTGGGAAATATACTAAACGAAAATTTAGAGGTGGAAGGTCGGCCAAATAAAAAATATAAAATTATTTTGAAGGTGCAAGGAGAAAATGCAATTAAGGAATAAATTAAAATAGGTATAAAATAATTAGTATTCAGAGAAAAGTATAAGATATGAAAAGTGAGAAATATACTAAACGAAAATTTAGAGGTGGAAGGTCGGCCAAATAAAAAATATAAAACTATTTTGAAGGTGTAAAGCAAAAAATGCAATTAAGGATTAAATTAAAATAGGTATAAAATAATTAGTATTCAGAGCTATTATGCTAAGGTATAAAAAATAAAAATATAAGATGTGAAAAGTGGGAAATATACTAAACGAAAATTTAGAGGTGGAAGGTCGGCCAAATAAAAAATATAAAATTATTTTGAAGGTGCAAGGAGAAAATGCAATTAAGGAATAAATTAAAATAGGTATAAAATAATTAGTATTCAGAGAAAAATATAAGATATGAAAAGTGAGAAATATACTAAACGAAAATTTAGAGGTGGAAGGTCGACCAAATAAAAAATATAAAACTATTTTGAAGGTGTAAAGCAGAAAATGCAATTAAGGATTAAATTAAAATAGGTATAAAATAATTAGTATTCAGAGCTATTATGCTAAGGTATAAAAAATAAAAATATAAGATGTGAAAAGTGGGAAATATACTAAACGAAAATTTAGAGGTGGAAGGTCGACCAAACAAAACATATAAAATTATTTTCAAGGTGTAAAGCAGAAAATGCAATTAAGGATTAAATTAAAATAGGTATAAAATAATTAGTATTCAGAGCTATTATGCTAAGGTATAAAAAATAAAAATATAAGATGTGAAAAGTGGGAAATATACTAAACGAAAATTTAGAGGTGGAAGGTCGGCCAAATAAAAAATATAAAATTATTTTGAAGGTGTAAAGCAGAAAATGCAATTAAGGATTAAATTAAAATAGGTATAAAATAATTAGTATTCAGAGCTATTATGCTAAGGTATAAAAAATAAAAATATAAGATGTGAAAAGGGAGAAATATACTAAACGAAAATTTAGAGGTGGAAGGTCGGCCAAATAAATAATATAAAATTATTTTGAAGGTGTAAAGCAGAAAATGCAATTAAGGATTAAATTAAAATAGGTATAAAATAATTAGTATTCAGAGCTATTATGTTAAGGTATAAAAAATAAAAATATAAGATGTGAAAAGTGAGAAATATACTAAACGACAATTTAGAGGTGGAAGGTCGGCCAAATAAAAAATATAAAATTATTTTGAAGGTGTAAAGCAGAAAATGCAATTAAGGATTAAATTAAAATAGGTATAAAATAATTAGTATTCAGAGCTATTATGCTAAGGTATAAAAAATAAAAATATAAGATGTGAAAAGTGCGAAATATACTAAACGAAAATTTAGAGGTGGAAGGTCGGCCAAATAAAAAATATAAAACTATTTTGAAGGTGTAAAGCAGAAAATGCAATTAAGGATTAAATTAAAATAGGTATGAAATAATTAGTATTCAGAGCTATTATGCTAAGGTATAAAAAATAAAAAATATAAGATGTGAAAAGTGAGAAATATACTAAACGAAAATTTAGAGGTGGAAGGTCGGCCAAATAAAAAATATAAAACTATTTTGAAGGTGTAAAGCAGAAAATGCAATTAAGGATTAAATTAAAATAGGTATGAAATAATTAGTATTCAGAGCTATTATGCTAAGGTATAAAAAATAAAAATATAAGATGTGAAAAGTGAGAAATATACTAAACGAAAATTTAGAGGTGGAAGGTCGGCCAGATAAAAAATATAAAATTATTTTGAAGGTGTAAAGCAGAAAATGCAATTAAGGATTAAATTAAAATAGGTATAAAATAATTAGTATTCAGAGCTATTATGCTAAGGTATAAAAAATAAAAATAAAAGATGTGAAAAGTGGGAAATATACTAAACGAAAATTTAGAGGTGGAAGGTCGGCCAAATAAAAAATATAAAATTATTTTGAAGGTGTAAAGCAGAAAATGCAATTAAGGATTAAATTAAAATAGGTATAAAATAATTAGTATTCAGAGCTATTATGCTAAGGTATAAAAAATAAAAATAAAAGATGTGAAAAGTGGGAAATATACTAAACGAAAATTTAGAGGTGGAAGGTCGGCCAAATAAAAAATATAAAATTATTTTGAAGGTGTAAAGCAGAAAATGCAATTAAGGATTAAATTAAAATAGGTATAAAATAATTAGTATTCAGAGCTATTATGTTAAGGTATAAAAAATAAAAATATAAGATGTGAAAAGTGAGAAATATACTAAACGAAAATTTAGAGGTGGAAGGTCGGCCAAATAAAAAATATAAAACTATTTTGAAGGTGTAAAGCAGAAAATGCAATTAAGGGTTAAATTAAAATAGGTATGAAATAATTAGTATTCAGAGCTATTATGCTAAGGTATAAAAAATAAAAAATATAAGATGTGAAAAGTGAGAAATATACTAAACGAAAATTTAGAGGTGGAAGGTCGGCCAAATAAAAAATATAAAACTATTTTGAAGGTGTAAAGCAGAAAATGCAATTAAGGATTAAATTAAAATAGGTATGAAATAATTAGTATTCAGAGCTATTATGCTAAGGTATAAAAAATAAAAATATAAGATGTGAAAAGTGAGAAATATACTAAACGAAAATTTAGAGGTGGAAGGTCGGCCAAATAAAAAATATAAAATTATTTTGAAGGTGTAAAGCAGAAAATGCAATTAAGGATTAAATTAAAATAGGTATAAAATAATTAGTATTCAGAGCTATTATGCTAAGGTATAAAAAATAAAAATAAAAGATGTGATAAGTGGGAAATATACTAAACGAAAATTTAGAGGTGGAAGGTCGGCCAAATAAAAAATATAAAATTATTTTGAAGGTGTAAAGCAGAAAATGCAATTAAGGATTAAATTAAAATAGGTATAAAATAATTAGTATTCAGAGCTATTATGCTAAGGTATAAAAAATAAAAATATAAGATGTGAAAAGTGAGAAATATACTAAACGAAAATTTAGAGGTGGAAGGTCGGCCAAATAAAAAATATAAAATTATTTTGAAGGTGTAAAGCAGAAAATGCAATTAAGGATTAAATTAAAATAGGTATAAAATAATTAGTATTCAGAGCTATTATGCTAAGGTATAAAAAATAAAAATATAAGATGTGAAAAGTAAGAAATATACTAAACGAAAATTTAGAGGTGGAAGGTCGGCCAAATAAAAAATATAAAATTATTTTGAAGGTGTAAAGCAGAAAATGCAATTAAGGATTAAATTAAAATAGGTATAAAATAATTAGTATTCAGAGCTATTATACTAAGGTATAAAAAATAAAAATATAAGGTGTGAACAATGAGAAATATACTAAACTAAAATTTAGTGGTGGAAGGTCGGCTAAATAAAAAATTCTTCGGTGTAAAGCAGAAAATGCAATTAAGGATTAAATTAAAATAGGTATGAAATAATTAGTATTCAGAGCTATTATGCTAAGGTATAAAAAATAAAAATATAAGATGTGAAAAGTGAGAAATATACTAAACGAAAATTTAGAGGTTGAAGGTCGGCCAAATAAAAAAATATAAATTTATTTTGAAGGTGTAAAGCAGAAAATGCAATTAAGGATTAAATTAAAATAGGTATAAAATAATTAGTATTCAGAGCTATTATGCTAAGGTATAAAAAATAAAAATATAAGATGTGAAAAGTGAGAAATATACTAAACGAAAATTTAGAGGTGGAAGGTCGGCCAAATAAAAAATATAAAATTATTTTGAAGGTGTAAAGCAGAAAATGCAATTAAGGATTAAATTAAAATAGGTATAAAATAATTAGTATTCAGAGCTATTATGCTAAGGTATAAAAAATAAAAATATAAGATGTGAAAAGTGAGAAATATACTAAACGAAAATTTAGTGGAAGGCCGGCCAAATAAAAAAATATAAAATTATTTTGAAGGTGTAAAGCAGAAAATGCAATTAAGGATTAAATTAAAATAGGTATAAAATAATTAGTATTCAGAGCTATTATGCTAAGGTATAAAAAATATAAGATGTGAAAAGTGAGAAATATTCTAAACGAAAATTTAGAGGTGGAAGGTCGGCCAAATAAAAAATATAAAATTATTTTGAAGGTGTAAAGCAGAAAATGCAATTAAGGATTAAATTAAAATAGGTATAAAATAATTAGTATTCAGAGCTATTATGCTAAGGTATAAAAAATAAAAATATAAGATGTGAAAAGTGAGAAATATACTAAACGAAAATTTAGTGGAAGGCCGGCCAAATAAAAAAATATAAAATTATTTTGAAGGTGTAAAGCAGAAAATGCAATTAAGGATTAAATTAAAATAGGTATAAAATAATTAGTATTCAGAGCTATTATGCTAAGGTATAAAAAATAAAAATATAAGATGTGAAAAGTGAGAAATATTCTAAACGAAAATTTAGAGGTGGAAGGTCGGCCAAATAAAAAATATAAAATTATTTTGAAGGTGTAAAGCAGAAAATGCAATTAAGGATTAAATTAAAATAGGTATAAAATAATTAGTATTCAGAGCTATTATGCTAAGGTATAAAAAATAAAAATATAAGATGTGAAAAGTGAGAAATATACTAAACGAAAATTTAGTGGAAGGCCGGCCAAATAAAAAATATAAAATTATTTTGAAGGTGTAAAGCAGAAAATGCAATTAAGGATTAAATTAAAATAGGTATAAAATAATTAGTATTCAGAGCTATTATGCTAAGGTATAAAAAATAAAAATATAAGATGTGAAAAGTGAGAAATATACTAAACGAAAATTTAGTGGAAGGCCGGCCAAATAAAAAATATAAAATTATTTTGAAGGTGTAAAGCAGAAAATGCAATTAAGGATTAAATTAAAATAGGTATGAAATAACTAGTATTCAGAGCTATTATGCTAAGGTATAAAAAATAAAAATATAAGATGTGAAAAGTGAGAAATATACTAAACGAAAATTTAGTGGAAGGCCGGCCAAATAAAAAATATAAAATTAATTTGAAGGTGTAAAGCAGAAAATCCAATTAAGTATTAAATTAAAATAGGTATAAAATAATTAGTATTCAGAGCTATTATACTAAGGTATAAAAAATAAAAATATAAGATGTGAAAAGTGAGAAATGTACTAAACGAAAATTTAGAGGTGGAAGGTCGGCCAAATAAAAAATATAAAATTATTTTGAAGGTGTAAAGCAGAAAATGCAATTAAGGAATAAATTAAAATAGGTATAAAATAATTAGTATTCAGAGATATTATGCTAAGGTATAAAAAATAAAAATATAAGATGTGAAAAGTGAGAAATATACTAAACGAAAATTTAGAGATGGAAGGTCGGCCAAATGAAAAAATATAAAATTATTTTGAAGGTGTAAAGCAGAAAATGCAATCAAGGAATAAATTAAAATAGGGATAAAATAATTAGTATTCAGAGCTATTATGCTAAGGTATAAAAAATAAAAATATAAGATGTGAAAAGTGAGAAATATACTAAACGAAAATTTGGAGGTGAAAGGTCGGCCAAATAAAAAATATAAAATTATTTTGAAGGTGTAAAGCAGAAAATGCAATTAAGGAATAAATTAAAATAGGTATAAAATAATTAGTATTCAGAGCTATTATGCTAAGGTATAAAAAATAAAAATATAAGATGCGAAAAGTGAGAAATATACTAAACGAAAATTTAGAGGTGGAAGGTCGGCCAAATAAAAAATATAAAACTATTTTGAAGGTGTAAAGCAGAAAATGCAATTAAGGAATAAATTAAAATAGGGATAAAATAATTAGTATTCAGAGCTATTATGCTAAGGTATAAAAAATAAAAATATAAGATGTGAAAAGTGAGAAATATACTAAACGAAAATTTAGAGGTTGAAGGTCGGCCAAATAAAAAAAATACAAAATTATTTTGAAGGTGTGAAGTAAAAAATGCAGTTAAGGAATAAATTAAAATAGGTATAAAATAATTAGTATTCAGAACTATTATGCTAAGGTATAAAAAATAAAAATATAAGATGTGAAAAGTGAGAAATATACTAAACGAAAATTTAGAGGTTGAAGGTCGGCCAAATAAAAAAATATAAAATTATTTTGAAGGTGTGAAGCAAAAAATGTAATTAAGGAATAAATTAAAATAGGGACAAAATAATTAGTATTCAGAGCTATTATGCTAAGGTATAAAAAAAATAAAAATATAAGATGTGAAAAGTGAGAAATATACTAAACGAAAATTTAGAGGTGGAAGGTCGGCCAAATGAAAAAATACAAAATTATTTTGAAGGTGTGAAGCAAAAAATTTAATTAAGGAATAAATTAAAATAGGGAAAAAATAATTAGTATTCAGAGCTATTATGCTAAGGTATAAAAAATAAAAATATAAGATGTGAAAAGTGAGAAATATACTAAACGAAAATTTAGAGGTGGAAGGTCGGCCAAATGAAAAAATACTAAATTATTTTGAAGGTGTGAAGCAAAAAATGTAATTTAGGAATAAATTAAAATAGGGACAAAATAATTGGTATTCAGAGCTATTATGCTAAGGTATAAAAAATAAAATATAAGATGTGAAAAGTGAGAAATATACTAAACGAAAATTTAGAGATGGAAGGTCGGCCAAATAAAAAATATAAAATTATTTTGAAGGTGTAAAGCAGAAAATGCAATCAAGGAATAAATTAAAATAGGGATCAAATAATTAGTATTCAGAGCTATTATGCTAAGATATAAAAAATAAAAATATAAGATTTAGAGGTTGAAGGTCGGCCAAATAAAAAAATATAAAATTTTTTTGAAGGTGTAAAGAGAAAATGCAATTAAGGTATAAATTAAAAAAAGCTATAAATTATTAGTATTCACAGTTATTGTGCTTATGTAGAAAAATAAAATAAAAGATTTGAAAAGTGTATTTTAGGATTACATTTACTAAACGAAAATTTAGAGGTGGACGGTCGGCAAAAAAATATTAAATTATTTTGAAGGTGTGAAGCAGAAAATGCCAGTAAAGGTATAAATTAAAAAAAAATATAAATTATTATCAAAGCAAAACCTTTGCAGGCGGGTAAAAGGACAATAACTCACAATTTTTAAGTTGTATAATTTAAATTTTAATGCTTAAAAAAGCAAGGGGGGCGACATGTTTCGGAAATTTAGACTATTCCCATCATAAGAACGTTTAGAGTTTTTATAAATTATTAGTATTCAGTTATTGTGCTTAGTTTTAAAAAATAAAATAAAAACTTTAAAAGTAAGATTTTAGGAATTATATTTACTGAACGAAAGTTTAGAGGTGGAAGGTCGGCCAAGTATAAAAATATAAAATTATTTTGAAGGTGTAAAGCAGAAAATGCAATTAAGGTATAAATTAAAAAAAAACTATAAATTATTAGTATTCACAGGTATTGTGCTAAGGTATAATAAATAAAATAAAAGATTTGAAAAGTGTATTTTAGGATTACATTTACTAAACCAAAATTTAGGGGTGGACGGTCGGCAAAAAAATATAAAATTATTTTGAAGGTGTAAAGCAGAAAATGCAGTATAGGTATAAATTAAAAAAAACTATAAATGATTAGTATTCAGTTATTGTGCTTAGTTTTAAAAAATAAAACTTTAAAAGTAAGATTTTAGGAATTATATTTACTGAACGAAAATTTAGAGGTGGAAGGTCGGCCAAATATAAAAATATAAAATTATTTTGAAGATGTAAAGCAGAAAATGCAATTAAGGAATAAATTGAAATAGGTATAAAATAATTAGTATTCAGAGCTATTTCCTTAAGTATAAGAAATAAAAATATAAGATGTGAAAAGTGGGAAATATACTAAACGAAAATTTAGGGGTGGAAGGTCGGCCAAATGAAAAAATATAAAATTATTTTGAAGGTGTAAAGCAGAAAATGCAATTAAGGTATAAATTAAAAAAGCTATATATTATATTATTAGTATTCACAGTTATTGTGCTTAATTTTTTGAAGGTGTAAAGCAGAAAATGCAATTAAGGTATAAATTAAAAAAAGCTATAAATTATTAGTATTCACAGTTATTGTGCTTAGGTAGAATAAAATAAAATATTTTAAAAGTAAGATTGGTGGAAGTAAGATTGGATTGGGAAGGTGTAAAGCAGAAAATGCAATTAAGGCATAAATTTAAAAAATATATAAATTATTAGTATTCACAGTTTTTGTGCCAAGCTATAAAAAATAAAAAGTTTTAAAAGTAAGATTTTAGGAATTACGTTTACTAAACGAAAATTTAGAAGTATGTAGAAGGTCGTTCAAAAAAATGTTTAAAATTTTGATATATATATAAGGTGTAAAGCAGAAAATAACAAGAAAAGATATGTATAAGGTGTAAAGCAGAAAATACAATTACGTTATAAAGTATAAAAGCTCTAAATTATTCGTATTCACAGTTATTGTGCTAAGGTATAAAAAATAAAATAAAAGATTTGAAAAGTGTATTTTAGGATTACATTTACTAAACGAAAATTTAGAGGTGGAAGGTCGGCCAAAAAAATATAAAATGATTTTGAAGATGTGAAGCAAAAAAATGCAATTAAGGAATAAATTAAAATAGATATAAAATAATTAGTATTCAGAACTATTGTAATAAAATAAAAATATAAGATGTTAAAAGTGACAAATAATATATATACTAAACGAAAATTTAGAGTTGGAAGGTCGGTCAAAAAATATATAAAACTACTTTGAAGGTGTAAAGCAAAAAATGAAATTAAGGCATAAATTTAAAAAATATAAAAATTACTATTATTAGTATTCACAGTTATTGTGCTAAGGTATTAAAAATAAAATAAAAAATTTGAAAAGTAAGATTTTTGGAATTATATTATATAGGTCCGCAAAAAAAAATATTTTGAAAGTGTAAAGAAAAAAAAAAGAATAAAACATAAAAAAGCTATTAATTATGATTATTGTTTAGTTTTAGGAATTACATTTTTTACTAAACGAAAATTTAGAAGTGCAAAAAAACTATTTTGAGAGTGTATAGCAAATAAACTTAATTAAGTTATCAAAATAAACATAAAACATGTGAAAAGTGAGTTTTAGGAATTAAGTTTACTGAACGATAATTTAGGTTGGCCAAATAAAAATAAACTATTTTGAAAGTGTAAAGCAAAAAACGTAATTAAGGTATAAATTAAAAAAGGTATTAATTATTAGTTTTCGGAATTATTGTGCTGAAGTATAAAAATAAAAATAAAAGATGTGAGAAGTGAGTTTTAGGAATTACATTTACTAAATAAAAATTTAGAAGTGCAAAAAAACTATTTTGAGTGTATAGCAAATAAACTTAATTATTAAGTTATCAAAATAAAAATAAAAGATGTGAAAAGTGAGTTTTTTAAGAATTTAATTTACTAAACGATAATTAAGTTGGCTAAATAAAAATAAACTATTGTGAAAGTGTAAAGCAAAAAACATAATTGAGGTATAAATTAAAACAGGTATAAATTATTAGTTTTCGGAATTATTGTGCTGAAGTATAAAAATAAAAGATGTGAGAAGAGTGAGTTTTAGGAATTAAATTTACTAAATTATCGTTTATAATTTAGATTGGCCAAATAAAAATAAACTATTTTGAAAGTATAAAGCAAAAAACGTAATTAAGGTATAAATTAAAAAAGGTTTAAATTATTAGTTTTCGGAATTATTGTGTTGAGGTATAAAAATAAAAATAAGAAATGTGAAAAGTGAGTTTTTTAGGTATTAAATTTACTAAACGATAATTTAGGTTGGTCAAATAAAAATAAACTATTTTGAAAGTGTAATGCAAAAAAAGTAATTAAGGTATAAATTAAAAAAGGTATAAATTATTAGTTTTCGGAATTATTGTGCTGAGATATACAAATAAAATTAAGAGATGTGAAAAGTGAGTTTTTAGGAATCAAATTTACTAAACGATAATTTAGGTTGGTCAAATAAAAATAAACTATTTTGAAAGTGTAAAGCAAAAAAAGTAATTAAGGTATAAATTAAAAAAGGTATAAATTATTAGTTTTCGGAATTATTGTGCTGAGATATACAAATAAAAATAAGAGATGTGAAAAGTGAGTTTTTAGGAATTAAATTTACTAAACGATAATTTAGGTTGGTCAAATAAAAATAAATTATTTTGAAAAAAGCAAAAAACGTAATTAAGGTATAAATTACATAATTAAGGCTTAAAATTTACAGTTATATAAATATAAAAGTTAAGTGTTTTAGTGTATTGTAATGAATTATAGTTAGTAGTTTTATTTTTCTAATGTAAAAACAATTTTTTTCTAATGTAAAACCTGTAATGTGTAACATCAAAGGTTCAAACTCCAACTGTATTGTTAGAAAGAGTTAAATAAGCTGCAAAACTATTTTGAAAGTGTGTAAAAGTGGGTAGTTAAGGTTTAAATTAAAATATACTATTAGTAGTACCTATTTATAGTTAGAATGCAAAGGTTTAACAAATAAAAAAAATATTTTCTGTGAAAAACGATTTAGCTAAAAGGAGTTAAATAATGTAAAATATAATCTAGTAGTGGGAGGTCAGTCAAATTAAAACAATGAAACTATTTTGAAGGTGTAAAGGAAAAATACTTAATTAAGGTAATTAATATAGTATAAAATTAATTGTATCGAGAGTTATTGTGCCAAGGTATAAAAAATTAAAACATTTGATGAGAAAAATGAATTTTTGAGAGAGAGGAAGAGTTAAACAATATCTATTTTAAAATTGCACAAAATAAAACTTAAGATATTAATTAAGTGCGCCTTCGTATAACAAAATAAAATATTTGATTTGTTTTAATGAGTTAAATATAATAAGTGACAATTTAAGTCGGCTAAATAAAAAGAATAATATTATTATGAGGTGTAAGGATCGTAATAATAATCGTAACTAATGTATTTATTGAAATAAAATATTCTGGACATTTAGATTTATAGTTATATTAAATTATTTGATGTGAAAAATGAATATTACAAGGAATCACAGTAAATGATAATGTATAATGAAATAAAAAAAAGAAAATAAAAATAATTGAGGTGAAAAATCTGTTAGGGGTTAAATACCAGTAAAATATACTTTAGATAGGGAAGGTCGGCCAAATAAAACAATAAAAATATTTTGAAGGCGTAAGGAGAAAAACGTACCTACCTAAATAATGTATAAATAAAAAAACACACACACACACACATAAATATTAGTAGTACATAATTCAGATTTATTGTGCGAAGGTATAAGAAATAAAACTACTTGGGATGTGAAAAACGAGTTAAAAAAAAACGAAATAGTTAAAAAAATATTGTAAATGATAATTTAGATGTGCAAAAAAAAGGTTGGTCAAATTAAAACAATGACACCATTTTGGGAGGTGTAAAAAAACGTAATTAAATCAAAAGATAAAATTATTAGTATTGAGAGTGATTGTACTAAGGTATAAAAAATAAAATGATATAATGTATAAAATTAATCATAGAAAAAGGTTAAATAAACTACAAAACGATTATAAAGGTGTAAAAAGAAAAAATAATTAAAATTTAAATTAAAATATAAAATAAAAATGAATATCTGGTATATCTAGTATTGGAGGTACTAAAGGTACAAAGTAAAATATAGAGAATGGCAGTGGGCCAAACAAAAATATATTAATAATTCAAATGAGTTGTGAGATATGATATCGTGTAAAGAGAACTACTATTGGATTGGTAGGATAAACCATTTGCATTAAAATGATTAATCAAAAATAAACGAAATAGAGGAGAGAGGTGGGCCTATAAAGAAAATTCGAAAATAAATGGTATGATAGGTATATCAAAGTGCAGGTATTCAAATATAGTAACAATATACATAAAAGAATATGATGTGGCGAGTATTGAGAACAAAAATTGTAGGTATGTTATGCATAAATGATATTATAGGTATAAAGAGTAAGAGTGTAGAATTGGTAGAACAAACCATTTGTATAAAAAGATAATAAATAATATATTAGTAGTACATTTGATTAAGAGTAGTACGTATTCAGATTCAGATTTATTGTGCGACGGTATAAGAAATAAAAATACTTGAGATGTGATAAATGAGTTGTTAGGAATAGTTAAATATTGTAAATGATAATTTAGATGTGTAAGGGTGGTTAAATTAAAACAATGTGGTGTAAAAGTGCAAAGAAAAAAAAACGTAATTAAATCAAAAGACAAAATTATTAATATAGATTTTATCAATCAATATATCAGAGTGATTTTACTAAGATATAAAAAATAATATATTATAATGTATTATATTATATAAATAATTAATATTAATTATTTATATATAATTACTAGCGTGTACCAGCGACTTCGTTCGCGTCGAATTAATCATTTAAAATGGTGATAATAAAGCAAAGCAAGAATTTCTATTAACATACAAACTGGATAAAATTTTCTCACATTTATGTCAGCATGAGAAAAAACAATATGGCGATATTATTATATAACTTGGTAATATTTGAGAGTTAGTTTCATCTCGTTGGAATTTGACTTTCGAAAAATCCGTTTGCCAAAAATAAGCTTTTTACGTCAAGCAGTTTAAGCAGAATCGTGGTTAAGATATTACCCAACTTTTTGGAACATCCTATATGATTTTTTAAAAAATTTCAAAATATGTAAAAAAACCAAATAAATTATGCTTGTCCAAGCGTTTTCCCGAAAGACTAACCGCTTTTTAAATAACAAAATTTGTTATTTAAAAAACGCCCCTCAGTAAATTGTTGCCCCTCAGTTGTAATCTTTGAGGGGCGTTTTCACCCTCTTGGAATTTGAGATTCGAGAAACCCCTCCTTATTGAACCTCTACACCCCACAGTCAATCCGTTTGCCAAAAATCAGCTTTAAACGTCAAGCAGTTTAAGCAAAATCGTGATTACTTAATGGTCATATTTTATGAAACACCCTGTATAAATTTATAAAAAATCTTAAAATATATAAAACAACAAAATAAAATATACGTGTTTAAGAGTTTTTCCGAAAAACTCACCGGTTTTTAAATAAAAAATATTTTAATATTTGAGGGATAGTTTCACCCCCTTAGAATTCGAGTTTCGAAAAATCCCTTCTTATTAAACCTCTACACCCTAAAGTCAATCTGTTTTCCAAAACTCACCTTTTTACGTCAAGCGCTTTAAGCAGGATCGTGATTAATCAATGACCAGATTGTTCGAAACACCCTGTATACATTTTTAAAAAATCTTAAAATATGTAAAAAACCAAAATAAAATATACGTGTTTAAGCGAAACTTGACCGTTTTTTAAATAAAAAATATTGTAATATTTCAGGGGTGGTTTCACCCCCTTGGAACTGGAATTTCAAAAAATCCCTTCTTATCGAACCTCTACACCCTAGAATCAACCTGTATGCTAAAATTGAGCTTCTTACGTTGAGTGGTTTGAGCAGGATCGTGATTAATCAGTATGTCAGTCACTTAAGGATTTTATATATTAGTATATACATATATAATAGATGTGAAAATTTAGAGGTATCGATCAAATTAAAACAATAAGACTATTTTGAAGGTGTAAAGAAAAAAAACTTAATTAAGGTAATTATAGATATTTTAAATTAATAGTATTCAGAGTTATTGTGCCAAGACATATAAATAGAGATATTGGATGTGAAAAATGAGTTGAAGAAAGGAAACATAGAAAATGATAATTCACAGGTACTAGGTCGACCAAATAAAAGTAATAAAACTATTTTGAAAGTGGTAAAGAAAAATAGTGTAATTAAGATATATTATATTAATATATACTAAAATTATTAGTATTCAGAATTACTGTGCCCTAAGCTATAGAAACGAAAACAATTGGAGTGAGAAATGAGTTAAATGTAATTAATCTAATGAACTAAATCGAAAAAAAATGAACTAAAAATCGAAAATAAATGGTATGATAGGTATATCAAAGTTAGTGCAGGTATTCTAATATACGAGTAGTAACAATATACATAAATGAATGCAGTATGGCGGCAGGTTGCCAAAATAAATGTACGATAAAAGTATTGAGAACAAAAATTGTAGGTATGTTACATAAAAAGTAAGAGTATAGGATTGGTAGATTAAATCATTTGTATTAAAAGATTAAGTAATAATGAAAATTGCAGTTTAGGTCTTTAGTGAATATTCAGTTATTAAAATAAAATAATATAGAGGAGGGTGGTGGGCCTATAAAGAAAATCAATAATTAATAACATGGTAGGTATATTAAATTATAATTACACGGAAAAAATATTTAGATGTTTGGTATAAAAATGCGGATTATGGATAAAGTTAGATAAATATAAATATGTATCATAGAAATATAGATTAACCGAAGTTTTATGTACTTAACTTAATAGTAATTACGAAAATTATCGTTGTATTAGGTCTTGAGCAATAATTGTAATTAAACAAAAATATCTTATAGATAGATAATAGCAATAATTTAGATAAGAGAATTTTTCGTATATTATCCTACTATGGTTTTTCATAAATATTAAATATATACCTATTAGGATTATGTTTTAGTATTTACTGTGGTATTTATTAGCAATAACGTTAATAAAAAATATTTTATTCAATCGGTTTGTTTTATTTAACATACCCTTCTATATAGAATTTGTTTTAATTAAGGGCAATGAAAGTAAAAAATAATTCAATTTTAATACAGGGTGTTTCAAAAAAACATGTGCCATATCTCTCATAGAGAAATTTCTCACGTAAAAATATGGTTTATTTTTCATATCAACATAGGTCCGTTTCTGCTTTGTTTCGTAGCAATAGGGGGTTTACTTCTCTTTTTTTTTTCGAATTTTTATATGTTTCTTCCAGATGATTTTAGTGATTCGAATGAAATTTTCAGGGTAAAAGTTGCTGAAAGTGCGCCATATTTTAATGCTAAAAAAGTGTCAACAGATTCTCTAGGGACGTGCATATGGGTTATTACTGGAATAATTTTCTAAAAAAAATATGCGCCATTGACTTCTTATTATCTTTTCTGCAAAATTGTGTAGGCCATTTAATGCCGATTAGAAGTTGTATCTTGATATTTAGTAGATTATGATCTCCTTGAAGAGATAAACGTAATTTTATTGATCGCAATTAATAAAATTAACATAAAATTAATAATATATTTATTTAATCTAATTCACACACATTATTAAATTTTATTAAAATTTATAAAATAGATGTTCGGTGCTATCTACAATAAATTCAAGAAAAAAGTATTGGCATTTAAGATGGTTAAAAAGGAAATATTTTTTTAAAGTTTTAACACCCTATAACTTTAAAGCTATGTTTATAGGAAAGTTTTTCATATTTTTTTATGAGGAATCAATGAACACTTATTTACCACTTTAGACAGTTAATGACTCTAAAATTTTTAGAGGTTGCTATTAGATTTGGGTTTTATTTAAAGTAAATTAATAAAATTGCATTTATCTCATGAAAGAGAACAAGAATCGACAAAATATCAGGAGACAATTTTTAATCGGCATTAACAGCGCTTTCAGATGGAGCGGATCGTACGCGCAGAGTTTTTTCAATATAGCTCATCCGGACGGAGCTTACGCGACCCATGTGAAATCGTTCATATAATCTCATGGTACTTAAACGGTCTACACAATTGTCAACAAAAGAAAAAAATGTGCGCCTTTAACTTTTTTCCCTGGTAAATATGTGGACTCTTTTTTAGTATTACAGTATGACACTATTTTAGTAACTTTTACCCTCAAAATTTAATTTGATTCGCTAAAAGCACTTGGAAGAAAATTGTAATAAATAAAAAAAATGAACACCTTTAGCTACGAAACAAAGCAGAATCGGACCTATGATATACAAAATAAATCTTATATTTCTGTGAGGAATCTCCTCAAGAGAGATAGCACATGTGTTTTTTGAAACATCCTGTACATATAATAATAATTTTGCTGCTAAAGAAATATGGAGTTGTAAATAAACTAAATAGCTAAGAAATTAAATTCTCCAAAAAAATATTTGACAATTTTTTTGACTAAAATTCCCGATGACGAAAGAATCCAAGGACAAATAACACCCGAGAGCAAATTGTGACGATGTCACCAAACAGTGCCGCGGCACATATTTTTCTTAACCTAGCTGTTTGAAGCAATATTTATATTTTTTGATAATAAAATTGTTTTGACTACGCCTATGGTGTATCATCCTAATTAATTGCGAAAAAACGTATTAAAATGTTAACAAAAGGTACAAAACTAGTATCGACGTATAGCACATATCAAGTACATATAGATGTTAATTGAAATTGAAGAATAATTATCGAATTCAATAAGAAAACGCTAAAATGTTGGAGTGGGCTGTTTATTTACCTATGAAACGTAACTCCTGGCTCTTTCTTATCGCTGCTGCTTTCACACTTGAAAGCTGAACAACTAATCACCATTGTAATAAAGTTTATACAAAGTTCACTACACACAAACTATTAAAAATCGCTAAAATTGTCGCTGGTGACCAAATGATGACTCATTGTTTGCCACCAAAACAAAAAAAAAGAGGTCGGTCAAGTTTGCCCCCCGTATTAGAGGAAATTCAAAAATAAATATACCACTATTTTGCACACCATAAATTATATTTTGCACACTTACCTAAGAGAAACCAGGATCGTTTTTACACGGGGGGCAAACTTGACCGTTCCCCCCCATTTGTTACGAAATTGATTTATTTCTATGTACATTGATTCGGCTAATTTCGCACAATTTTGCACACCTATTTTTAAATTTCGCACACCTTCCTGACGAAAGTTATAAGCGGTTGAAAATTTGAAATTTCCCCCCCATCTGTGACTAAATTGAATTTTGTTTATATCAAACGAGTCGGCTAATTTTGCACAATTTTGCATACCTAATTTTGAATTTTGCACACCATCCTGATTAAAGTTATGAAGGTTTGAAAATTTGCAATTTCACCCCCATCTGTCACGAAATTGAATTTTGTGTATATCAAACGAATCGGCTAATTTTGCACAATTTTGCACACCTGTTTTTGAATTCTGCACACCAGCCTGATTAAAGTTATGAAGGTTTGAAACTTTGCAATTTCCCCCCCATCTGTCACGAAATTGAATTTTGTGTATATCAAACGAATCGGCTAATTTTGAACAATTTTGCACAGCTATTTTCGAATTTTGCACACTCTCCTGAGAAAAGTTATAAGAGTTTGAATATTTGAAATTTGTCTCATTGTGTGTGAAATGTCTCATTTAAAAATACATAAGTATGAGTCATATTTCGAAAATGATAGATCTCAGCGACGGCGACGTGAAAAACTCCACGGAACTTAAGATTTCACCTTTTCGATAATTTATAGCTTGCATAAAAGAACATTTATGAAACTAAAGATTCTACACACAGATGCCTTCTTACTTCCTGAAATACCTGGCAAATTCGAAAATTTTACATTTTTCGACAACCCTCATATCTCGGTTATCCTATAACTTATCGAAAAGGTGAAGTCTGGGTTCACTTTTCAAATATGACTCATACTTATGTTTTGTAAATGGGACAATTCACACACAATGGGCCAAATTTCAAATATTCAAACACTTACAACTTTTGTCAGGAGAGTATGCAAAATTCAACAGTAGCTGTGCAAAATTGTGCAAAATTAGTCGATTCGTTTGATATAAACTGATATTCAATTTCGTAGCAGATGGGGAGGAAATTGCAAATTTTCAAACCCTCATAACTTTCGTCAGGAAGGTGTGCAAAATTCTAAAATAGATGTGCAAAATTGTGCAAAATTAGCCGAATCGTTTGATATAAACGAAATTCAATTTCGTAGCAGATGGGGGGGAATTTGCAAATTTTCAAACCCTCATAACTTTCGTCAGGAAGGTGTGCAAAATTCTAAAAGAGGTGTGCAAAATTGTGCAAAATTAGCCGATTCGTTCGATAAAAACACAATTCAATTTTGTGGTAGATGGGGGGGAAATTTCACATAAATTGGGGGGGAAATTTCACACCCTTATAACTTTTGTCAAGAGAATGTGCAAAATTTGAAAATAGGTGTGCAAAATTGTGCAAAATTAGCCCATTCGTTTGATATAAACAAAATTCAATTTAGTCACAGATGGGGGGGGGGGTAATTTAAAATTTTCAACCTCTTAAACTTTCGTGAGGGCGTGCAAAATTATGCAAAATTAACCGAATCGATGTACATAGAAATAAATCAATTTCGTAACAAATGGGGGGGGGGAACGGTCAAGTTTGCCCCCCGTTTAAAAAACGGCTCTAGTTTCTCTTAGGTAAGTGTGCAAAATATCATTTATGGTGTGCAAAATGTGTGCAAAATAGTGCTATATCTCTTTTTGAATTTCCTCTAGTACGGGGGGCAAACTTGACTGACCTAAAAAAAAGGTCTCAAATGCTGCAGCCCGTATAGGGGCGTTACATGTCCTTATATTCTTTAGTCATTGAAAATTCCATTATAAAATATTCGTTTATATGACATATTCTATCTAAATGTAGGTACGCTTTGTATAAATTTAAATTTTTGTATTTTAATATTCTATAGAAAAACTTAGATAAGTATATCCATAATTAATAGATTTCATTTTGATAACAAGTGTTAGATTTAGAGGAATTAAAACAATTTGAATATAAGGTACGTATTTATTAATATTTATTCAAATAATTATAAAGAACAATATAGCAAAAATGACATTTAAAATAGCAGTATTTCTGATAATATTGCTCGAACTTATTGCTTTTTCTAATTCTTTAATGGGCAGACTATTCCAAAAATCGCTGGCACCCAATCTGTCAATTTTTTTCATTTCAATTTGATTCACTCCCTCTATGCTTAAAACATTTAGTTTATCACTGTCTGGATTCTGTGGCAACCATTCTTTATTATTAAATGTAGCCACACTAAAATTTAGCAAAACAAGTATGTTAGTTAAAACGAAGGTTTTTTTATTACAGTTGTTATACAAAACGATAACTTTTCCAAACTAAAGAATTATGATTTTGGGAAGTTTAATATTATTGTATCTTAAAATATATACAGGGTGGCACCTCATTCGCCTCGGTTTGGTTGGTATATGTGTGGAGGTTATGTGGACAATTTAAAATTATTTTGGAATGTACAGGGTGTTTCAGAACTAAGATCCATACCAAAGTTATATTTCTTCTTATGGAACACCCAGTATTTTATTTCATTTTTGAATTCTTGGGCCCAAAAAAGGTATTTATTATAAGGGTTAAATATGTCTAAAATCTTTGGTTTTTGAGATATTTAAAGATATTTAAATTTGCATGCCACAATAGAATAGATTATTCACACCCTGTACATTACTTTTCAGAATTAATTCTTGTGCTGAGTTTAAAGGTAGAGAAATAAACTTTACAGAAAAATGTTATTCCTCCCTTAAATGTACAGGGGTATCAAAAATTGCTGGTCCATTTTAAATAATTATTTTACATAAAAACTTAATTTATTTCAAATGCAACACTATGTGTTTTTTTAAATAAGTCGAAGCAGATTTAAATGCTCTTTCAAACTATATTAGGGTTCCCTATACCTATCTGGCTCAGATTTTGAATAAAAAGGAATTTTTCAATAAAATTAATCAAGATGGCTAGTGTTGTCATGGCAAGTTTCTAGTGACAGTTAGTAGCTATTTTCAAAATTGAAATTAGTTTATGGACTTATTTAAATTTATACCCAGTTTACTTTTATTTAATTTACCTACAATAGTTTAATAAATAATATTATTTATTAAACACGTATTTATTATTCTATCAAGAAAAACGAAAAAGTAGTTCTTTGAATTATTTTACGATTACTTGTAGATATATGGTTTTTCTGTAAAAGAGCCAATTACGGCAAATTAATTTTCTTCACTTCCAACGACAGGTTTCTGTCTAATAGGTATTTTATAAACCCACTACCAGCTCTGCGAAATAGGAACAGAAGTTTTTCAAAGAAACGCTATCTGGAAGATTCCTATTTGGATATCTTTGAGCATAAGCCCTTGAGGCTAAGTAGCAATTTTCCTCACAAAATAATATCACTAGTAACATATCTATTCGTTCCGCCAGCAGATACTGCTTTATTTTTCCTGATAAAGTAATGAACTCTTACTTATTAAACTATTGTAGGTAAATTTAAGTCAATAAAGTTATAAATTATAAATAATAGTGTCAATAAACTAATGTCGACTTTGAAAATAGTTATTGTACGTCTGCTGGATCTGTGTCTATGAAAGGAATGCGGACAAAAAACATTTAAATAAACAACAATATATTTTATACGTCGACTTGACGGGTACGTCACCGCATATCGCTCCGCCCACTCATTTTATTGGCTACTTGCAAATTTGTCGAATTTTTATTGATGGGACGCGTCGTCTAATTTTTTACGAAAAGCATCGAGAGAATATCGTTTCTCCTCTCACGGATACCCCGTAGCTACAGAACGGACAAACGTACTGTACTAACTGTCACTAGAAAATTGCCATGGTAACACCAGCCATCTTAATTGCAATTTTATTTAAAAATCACTTTTTATTCAAAATCTGAGCTAGATAAGTATAGGAAACCCTAATATAGTTTGAAAGAGCATTTGAATCTGCTTGGATTTATTTAAAAAAAATATAGGGTGTTGCATTTGAAATAACGAAGTTTTTATAATATATTCTTAAAATAGATCAGCAACTTTTGATAGCCCTGTATAAATTTAAGGAACCAATACCATTTTTCAGTAAAGTTTATTTCTCTACCTTTAAACTCAGCATAAGAATGAATTCTGAAAAGTAATGTACAGGGTGTTAATAGTCTATTCTACTGTAGCATGCAAATTTAAATATCTTTAAATATCTCAAAAACTAAAGATTTTAAACATATTTAACACTTATAATAAATGCCGTTTTGTGGGCCCAAGAATCCAAAAATGAAATAAAATACCGGGTGTTCCATAAAAAAATATAACTTTGGTATGGATCTTAGTTCTGAAATACCCTGTATACTTCAAAATAATTTTAAATTGTGCACATTGTCTCCCCATATATACCCATAAAATATTGTTTCTACATCTTTCCGTTTTCGTATAATCAACCGAGGCGAATGAGGTGCGCCACCTTGTATATACTATCGAAAAATGAAAAAATATACGGTGTCCAGGTACGTAGGGTATCTAATTTAACTCTATGGTATCTAATGCCCAAGTGTGGTACTAGGACGTATTTCAGGAAAATACATGTATAAGATATCTCAAAAAAGTGGACTAGGTAATTTTCTTTATGTAATGTACAAAATTAACGTGCGATTTTCTGCGCTCAGGTGGCAGATGCAACACACAAAAACGTACAAAAATATTTTCCTATGTGATAATACATTCTCCCCTGATAGGTCTCCACCTTGTCGTGGTAGGGGAGCTTGGTGATAAGTACGGCAGCGCTATTAAGATCAGGGTTCGAAAATATGATATTTATATAAATATCATATCACTTGATATATATCTGAGATAAATATATCTAATAATATAACATTTTGAAAATTTAACTGTTTGTTAAAAAACATTGTTTCTTTTTAAAATATTTTTAGCCATTAATCTTCTTGTTCTTACAGTGCCATACTCTATACAGAGCGTAGTTAAACACATTAATGGAAGTTTAATAGAAACTTTTTTAATATTCTAAACAACGTTTATTTTACCTCTAATTAAAATGAACAAGAAGAATAATTTAAAAAATACACATATTATTACATTCTTTTATTTATCATCTGATGAATTATTACTATCAAAAATGTTTTACAAATCAGTAACACTAACTTCAAGACATTGAGATATGGCTGGTACCCAGTACCCATATTTAATTTATTCGAACATTCGAACCCTGGTTAAAATGAGGTCTTACGTATCACTACTAAGAGAGACTTTGCCCAAGGCCAAGGTGAAGGAAGCTTGGCTACATAGGCTGTATGCCCTCAAGGCATTTGGCTACGTTTCACCTAAATGAAACGTTTTATTTGGCTCCTCGCAAGAGGAGCTACCCAATCCCAAGCGGTGCCTAAAGGGGATATGTACCTCCAAAGGGGTATCCAATGCCTAGTGCTCTGCTAAAGGAGGCGCTCATGCAATCCCAAGCAGGGCCTAAAGGTAACCGCGCACTGAATCGACTTCGGCCGGTCCACTTAAATAAGAGCTATCGGCAGTTTTCATTTTACATAGAATTAAATGTAAACCCGCACCACTGAATCGACTCGTCGCCATCATCGACCGGTCTGATTTAGTCGGGGTTACATTCAGTTCTATGTAAAGTGAAAACTGCCGATAGCTTTAAGTTAAGTGGACCGATCGAAGTCGATTCAGTGCGCGTTCTCCTTAAAGGTGACAGATACCTCCGAAGAGGGATCCAAGGCCTAAGGCATCGCTAACGGGACTCTGTTCTTCATTGAACAGAAAATCAGTCAGACGGATGGGACTCGACGGTAATACCACGAGAATAAAGAATATTTTAAATATATCATAATAAAATTATTTCTTATTCTGTGATAATACTTCGAGACGAGAACGTCTGATAGAAATCGCCTCAACTAAAGGAAAAACGCTAGAAGGCAAGGCTTATACCAGCCAGACAGCATTATTGGTCCTGTTAGGCGAGAAATGAAGGGTTCTTTTGAGGGGAAGCGTTATAGCAACTCGTGAAAGAGGTAACCCCTTGAAACCCTTGAAAGGGATACGATACCATACGACCGAAAAGAACGGCATCAGAGATGGCTTGGTAATGAAAACCGCTGTCATTCTTTATGTAAAATTATATGGGGAATGTCATCGATCGTCATTTTAAAGCCAACTCAAACCCTTTTTTTCGGTCATACGGTACTGTATCACTATCAAAAGCAACTAATTTCCCCCCCTAACGCAGAGGGTAGTGATCACCATTATAACCGTTGAAGGTTGTGGGATAGGTATTACTTACTAGAGGAAGAAACCTGATGGTTCGTGGAATAATGGACAAGCAGGTTTGAATCTCTAAATTAATTTGCATCACAGCACTCGGGCGATTTAATTCATAAGTCGTCACATTGCTGAGCGGCAAACAGTCATTTACTTTGAAACGATATCGTTTCTTGTTATTTTTTAATATTTCCATAAAACTGTTTAAATCACTTAAGAATACCTCTTGCAATTACCAAATAAACACTAATAATTTTATCTCCTTGTCGTTCTGATATTTATTTATTATTAAAGCGGCCCCTAGTATAGGAAATGAACGTTGACTTCGTTAATACCTATCTTCAATCGCAGATATACTAATAACAAGACCCGATTATTTATATTTTTTTAAAAAATAATAAAAATAGATACTGACCCAGTTTTAGCATATTTGACAAGAAAGTCTGTAAACATTTCCATCATTTTCTCGTCGTTAGGTTTTAAAACGTATGGGGTACCTATGGCTTGAAATAATAGTCTGGCATCATCTCCATGACATGCTCCTAATTATAAAAAAAAACTTTGGCGAATGATTATTTACCTATTATACAGGGTGTTTTAAAACAAACAAGAAAAAATGCGATTTAAGAAAAAAAGCGATCTAGGCCTAATAATGAGCCTTAAATAAGCGCAAATATTTTCAGGGCTGGTAGATCCCAAAAGAACCATATTATTTCTTTGTCGTTTTTCAAATTAGTCCAAAATAACCAAGTTATTTTACTTTGGAAATTTGAAAAAAATGATTTTTTTTTAATTTTAAGAACCACTGGATTTTTCTGGTTATTCTTTCTTGTAAATTTAATTTACTACCTATGTTGCCATATTATCAACAATTGTATCAACAACATTGATGTTTTTAACCTCGTTTTTATCTAAAAATTGAAAAAACAATCCAACAATTTTTTCGAAAAATATCAAATTAAAAAAATCCCGCAAGTACCATATAGACGTGTTTCTCGGGTCGAAATATACAACCCCTAAAAATATTTGCTAGTTCTTGTTAGTTCTGAAGATAATTAAACATTATTGCAAAATAATAAAACTGGGCTTGAGAGAAGCTAGCTAAATTATTTTTTTTGCATTTTCTAATTTGCAAAAACTATTTTCTCTTGCTAAGTTTCTAAATAAGCTAGGCTATCCAAGTTTTTCTCAATTCAATCTTTAAACTAATTTATTTTATTTCGACACGTTCTACTCATTTTACAAAATTCAAAAAATATAGTTAGTGTATTCTATTGTAGCAAAGCTCTTATAAAGTTTTATTATTCTATAGCTGTTCATTTTTAAGATAAAAAATAGCACTCTTTTTCTACCATTTTTGTACCGCAATAAAATTTAGTTGTCTTTTGACTCAATGTTTTATATAACAAAGTAATCTTTATTTTTGATGAATGATATCAAGTTTTTTCCATTTGTTCTGAAACGCCCTTTATATTATTGAGTATTATAAAGTGTTTTTTTAATAAACGTTATAAAATTATTATAATTGTTTTTTTTTAATTATGTTACGTAAAACAATGAATACAATACGGTAAAAAACAGAATTACAGCGGCATGCGGCAGTTTAAATAGCCATATTTATAAATGACATATAGCGGTCATCACGACAGAAATTATGATAAATTTTTATTTCATTTATATATATATTCATATGATATTGGGTGGCGCACATCATTCGCCTCGATTTATTTAAGGAAACGTAAAGATTTAGAAACAAAATATTTTATGACTATATGTGGGAAGGCAATGTGCATAATTTAAAATTAATTTGAAATGTACAGGTTATTACAGTTGGGGGTTGGAACCTTTGGTGTTACACAGCAAAATAAAACACTAAATCACTACAATACACTAAAACACTTTTACTTTTACACTGGACGCGCGTTTCGCTAACCAAGTAAGCGTCATCAGCAGATGATTAAAACTTTCAGTTTTGAGTTTTAACCATCTGCTGATGATGCTTGGTTAGCGAAACGCGCGTCCAGTGTAAAAGTAAAAGTGTTTTGGTGTATTGTGGTGATGTAGTGTTTTATTTTGCTGTACAGGTTATGTCAAAACTAAGATCCACATCAAAGTTATATATTTTCTTATGGAACGCCCGGTATTTTATTTCATTTTTAAGTGGAAGCAGATTTAATGGTTTAATTAATTAAATGCTCTTTCAAACTATATTAGGGTTTCCTATACCTATCTAGCTCAGATTTTGAATAAAAAGCAATTTTTCAATAAAATGTCAACCAAGAGGGCTGGTGTCGTCATGGCAAGTTCCTAGTGACAGTTAGTAGCTTTTTCAAAATCGAAATTAGTTTATGGACTTTATTTATTTAAATTTGTAGCAGTTTACTTTTATTTAATTTATCTACAATAGTTTAATTAACAATATTTATTTAGTTTTTTTCTTTGATTTATTTTACGATGACTCGTAGATATATGGATTTTTTATAAAAGCACCAATTGCGGAAAATTAATCTTCTTCACTATCAACGACAGGTTTCTGCCAAATAGATTTTTTATAAACCACACTATACTTAATCCCCTTAATACCTAATATCTACATAATACCTAATATCCTAATATCAAAAGAACGCTTATTAGGAAGATTCATATTTGGATATCTTTGAGCACCAGCCCTTGAGACCAAGAAGGAATTTTCCTCAGAAAATAGAATCACTAGTAACATATTTTATCTATTCGTTCCGTCAGCAGATACTGCTTTATTTTTCTTGATAAAATAATGAATACTGATTAAACTATTGTAAGTAAATTTAAGTAAACTGCTATAAATCTAATAATAATAAAGTTAATAAACTAATATCGATTTTGAAAATAGTTACTAACTGTCACTAAGGAAAACCAGCCATCTTGATTGACGTTTTATAGAAAAATCTCTTTTTATTCAAAATCTGAGCTAGATAAGTATAGGATAGTTTCCTATACCTATAAAATAGGAAATATAGTTTCAAAGAGCATTTGAATCTGCTTGTGTTGAAATAACGAAGTTTTTATGTAAAATAAATATTTAATATGGATCAATCAACAATTTTTGGTACACCTGTAAAGTTTATTTCTCTAACTTTAAACTCAGCACAAGAATTAATTCTGAAAAGTAACAGTACAGGGTGTTGATAATCTATTGTATTGTAGCAAATCATTGTATTCTATTGTTTTAAATATCTCATAAACCAAAGATTTTAAACATATTTAACCGTTATAATAAATGCCTTTTTTACGCCCAAGAATCCAAAAAATGACTTTGGTATGGATCTTAGTTCTGAAACACTCTGTATATTTCAAAATAATTTAAAATTGTACATATCCTTCCGTTGTATAATCAACCGAAGCGAATGAGGTGCGCCATCCTGTATAATCTATTCGGAGAAAAAATATGTATGAAAATATCAAATCAAAAACAGTGAAATAAAAAATAGAAAAAAATATGTACCTACATACATTTTTTAAACTGTTAGATGACACCTGTCATATATTATTTCCTTGAATAGACTATATTGGATAGATGGTATATTAAATATGTTAGTTCATAATTAAAAAAATACAGGGTGCCGCTTTCATGAAGCAATCCGTTACATGATCGAAAAAAGGGCGCCCAGTTGGCTTGGAAATGACACACAATAGATAATATTTCCTATATAACTTTACAGGATTTTTGATGACAGCGATCTTCATTTCCAAGCCATCTCTGACGCCGTTCTTTTTCGATAATATGGTACTGTGTGATCGAAAAAAGAAACGGTTGGAGAATTCATGATAATTTTTGCGAAGCAATCTTTACAGTGCTTTCAGATGGAGCGGAGCGTCCGCGCTGTTCGTACGAGTGTTTTTTCAAGATATTATGCGGACGGAGCATACGCAACCCATGCGAAATTGTTCATATAAACTCATGGTACTTGCTCGAAGTCGCGGACGCTCCGCTCCAACTGACAGCGCTGTTAGAGGTCATTTACTAAAAATTGGCATAGAGCTTGTCAAAAATTAAAACTAATTATAGAAAGATTAAAAAAGGATAGAACGTTTCCAGACACACACATCTATTTCCAAATTTTTTATTTTCCGTTTTTAAACTACACCTTTTAAAGCCATTTTTACTCAATATAAAAATAAAATACAACCTTGTTAAGGCAAATAGGCAGCAAGTGCTATTAAAAAATAAAGAACAGTACAAGCCAAGTAAATGACGTCTAGAGCATAACCTCACCAAAATTATATTATCGATTGTCATTCCTCAGCCGTCTTTAACGCCGTTTTTTTTCGATCGTTTGGTTTAATCCTCTTTAATTAAACAATTTTTTTTGTACTTACCAGTCAATTTACCACTGGGGAAGCTAGGCATTTGTAGGATGTACGAAAAAAAGTAATAATATACCTCAGATTTTACTGCAGAAGCATGCAGCTTGATAACTTTTTCTGTGTCAGCCAAAAACAGCCTGTCTGTAAAAAGCTAACAAGAGATTGGAATGGGAAAATGGCATAGAAACATATTATCAGGGAAAATCTCAAATACATATTAGATTTTCGATATGAGGGGGAACCAAAATAAAATACCTACTTTTTTTTTAATAGGAACTTACCTGGTGTCATCGTGGAGAAGTTCGGTACTTTCTTTTTATAATCTTATACCACATTCTTAAATTGTGCGATTTTTATTTATTTAACTGATTACTTAAAAGTCAACCCTATTTTTAAAAACTATATAGTAGTTTTAAATCTCTCGTGGTCAAAAATTTTGTCATAAAAGGCTCAAATACCCATTCGAGAAACCTCCCCCTCTAATTTCCTAATATGTATTTGAAATATTCCTGATAGTTTATGCCTAAAAGCACAGATAACATATTATATGTTATCTGTGCTAAAAGATATTTTGGATTACTACTGAGCTGTACCCCGTATGTTTCGAACTAGGCCAGTCAAATAAAATCTATTAAATGGGTCACTAATGTCACTTGAAAATAAGTGTTGGAAAGCTACTTATAGTTTTGATTTGTTCAGTTGGCATGGGAGTTGGGTATCCTACTTTTGCACGATTGCTCGACCGCCGCTCGACTCAGGAGGACCAAACGATGGTAAAATTCTTGGACTTTTTTCAGATTTTCGCCTATAGTTCCGAAGAGTTGCGTTCTAGCCAATATTTCACCATTACTAAAATTAAAGACCATTCAATTCTGCGTATAATGGGTATCAATTCGTCCAGTTCGGTCCAGTAGTATAGTAGAAATTGAAAGGTGAAGAATGGTGATATTTACCTATTTTGCTGATAAACGCATTAAAGTGACATTCAAACGTCCGTCACACAGAAACGATCGTACTAAATAATAAACCATACAATGAAAGTTGCATTTCATTCTTGGTTTCTAAAAACTGCAGCGCCCTCGCCATCCCGTAAAGCACTTGCAGGACACGCTGTTGGGTACTTCTAGAGGTTTTTTCTTCCATCGCTACTGGAGAGGATTTTTAGCCTGCCCCAACCACGTCTGGACTTGATGGTATGTCCGGAAAGCGTGTTGACGAGCTGGAGCGGAGAGAGGGGAAGGGTTGTTATCTTCGTGTTTGTTTTGGCTACTACTTTGGCGAACATATCATATCTTATATCGTCTAATGAGGTATGATTTTAATTTCGCGGGTCAATCTAATTGGTTACAAGGAATTTTATCCCAGCAGCATCTATCTCATCAGCACAAGCATTATTATTTTTGAAGATGAGCGCAGCATCTTGTAAATCTATGTTCCTGTCCAAAGTTTTGACAAACCTAATTTTCCCGTACTAATACAATGATGACTTGTTATCACCTCTACTGAAAACATGCAGGGACAGAATGTTTGATTTTAAACTTTCCGAGTATTTGAAGGGTCGGGGAGAATACAAACTATTTTCTTTTGCACCTTTTTCAGCCTTCATTAGTGCAATCTTTGAGGTGGTACTCTGCTACTTTTACAATAAATCCTTCATCATCTAGTTTTTTCATGGAACATGTTAATTAAACGTTTCTTATTACGGTCGTTGGATAAGAAATGCTCTTTTGAAGTGGCAAAACTGGTAAAAATAAATAATTATTTTTAAGCATCAATTTTAGATTACTGAACCGAATTGATATTTATTCTACGCAGAATTGTTGGACGACGGAACACAACAATTTTTATTTTCTTGGCATCTATTACTTGATGTAAAATGCTAATTGGATACTCTGTAACTCTTATTGTATGGTTTATTATTTAGGATGATCGTTTCTGTGTGACGAACGTTTGAATGTCACTTTAATGCGTTTATCAGCAAAATAGAAATATCACCATTCTTCACCTTTCAATTTCTACCATACTACTAGAATTGAACGAATTTATGCTCATTATACGCAGAATTTAATGGCTTTAGTTCTTGTATTGGATCTACAGGCGAAAATTTGCAAAAAGGTCAAGAATTTTACCATCTTTTGGCCCTCCTGAGTCGAGCGGCCGGCGCGGCGGTCGAGCAACCGTGTAAAATTAGGACAATTATCTTTCATGTCAACTGAACAAATCAAGACCATAAATAGCTTACCAACAATTTTTTCAAGTGAGCCCTCTAATTTGATTGGTCCAAACGAAAATAAACGCATTGTATTACTTACTTCAACCAAAGTATAGATGTTTTCCTCTGACATAGTATCATTTTTGAAATAATGTCTTTTAATTTGAGTTAACACATTTTTCTGATTATCTTCATCTAAGGTATCGTATAAATCCAAAAAGTATGGCATAATATCAAACCATTTTTCATCAAGTTCTTGAATTTTCTTGAGAAATACAACAACTAAAATCAAACATTTAAAGACAATTATTTCAAATTTACATACGCATACTTTATACATATTTTTATTATACCAAAAGTTCCTAAATTTGAATGAATCAAAAAATTGCTTTTTCATTCGTTTATTCAATCTTTTTAAAACCCTAGTGCCAGGAAAAATATGATCAAATACAGATTAATTATATTTTTTTAATCTGGAAAATTTAAAGTAATTCATTTTCGAGTCCACTGTGCTGTTAATGACTAATTATTGCGCATCATTGGTAACAAACATTCATCATATTATGGTCAATGGTGATAAATGGTCCTATTTATAATGAATATTATCTTTTAAAAAATGATATAACTGATTCATAAAATATTTTGCAATAATATTCTAGACTAGAGATATCTTAAAATTACAAATAAATTGAATATTTATCAGCCCATTTTTATTTTCGTAATTTTTAATTTAGTTTGGTTTACAGTTTAGTTTATTATACAGGGTGTCCCAATATTCAGTGGACATAGACCTACTACGTCGTTTGTCTGTTAGATATTTTAAAAGCTGATATTTCGATTTGAAAAAAATTTGGGACTCTAATGTTTTGCTAAGTGCTGTAACATTTGACATTCACAAAAATAAAAGAAAGTACTGGAAGGGTAAAAACTACTACTGTACTACTACATAAATTTTAGTAGAAATATTTCCCAACTCCACCGACGATTTTTTTTTTCGTAAAATAGTCCTCCTGGTATTTACTACATATTTTGTCTCTTGTAAAAAAACGAAACATCGCAAGCGTAATGTAGGAAAATCGTAAATGTAGGAAAATCTAAAAGGACAATTTTACGAAAATTGGTCGAATTGGTCGGCGATAAGGTTAAAAATATTTATAACTAAATTTATGTAGGGGCTTTGGTAGAGGTGGGGGTAGTTTTCATCCTTCCCGTACTTTTTCTTGATTTTTGTAAAGGCCAAACGTTTTAAGCATTACGTTTAGCATTACGTGTACATCGATTCGGCTAATTTTGCACAATTTTGCACACCTATTTTTAAATTTTGCACTCCCTCCTGACCAAAGTTATAAAGGATTAAAAATTTGAAATCCCCCCCTCCCCCCATCTGTAACTGAATTGAATTTTATTTATATCAAACGAATGGAATAGTTTCGCACAATTTTGTTTTGATTATTTTTGATCATCATCCTGATCATTTCACCCCTCCCCTCCATCAGCTGCGAAATTAAATTGAATTTTGTTTATATCAAACGAATCGGATAATTTCGCACAATTTTGCACATCTGTTTTTGAATTTTACACACTCTCCTGACAAAAGTTATAAGGGTTTTAATATTTCAAATTTGTCCCATTGTGTGTGAAGTGTCCCATTAAAAAAACATAAATATGAGTCATATTTGGAAAATGATAGATCTCAGCGACGTGAAAAACTGTACGGAACTCAGATTTCACCTTTTCGATAAGTTATAGGATAACCGAGATATGACAGGTGTTGAAAAATGCAACATTTTCAAATTTGCCCGGTATTTCAGGAAGTAAGAGGGCTACGACAAGTCTATGTGTAGAATTCTTAGTTTCATAATTGTTCTTCTCTGGAAGCTGTACAATTTTTCACGTCGCTGAGATCTACCATTTTCAAAATATGACTCATACTTATGTTTTTTTTAAATGGGACACTTCACACACAATGGGACAAATTTAAAATATTCAAACCCTTATAACTTTTGTCAGGAAAGTGTGAAAAATTGTGCAAAATTAGCCGATTTGTTTGATATAAACAAAATTCAATTTCGTAGCTATTGGGGGAGGGGCGGAGATTGCAAAATTTCAAACCCTCATAACTTTAATCAAGATGGTGTGCAAATTTCAAAAACAGGTGTGCAAAATTGTGCAAAATTATCTGATTCGTTTGATATAAACAAAATTCAATTTAGTCACAGATGGGGGAGAAATTTCAAATTTTCAACCCTTTATAACTTTCGTCAGGAGGGTGTGCAAAATAAGCCGAATCGATGTACAGAGAAATAAATTAATTTCGTAACAGATGGGGGGAGGGGACGGTCAAGTTTCCCCCCGTTTAAAAAACGGCTCTGGTTTCTCTTAGGTAAGTGTGCAAAATATCATTTACGGTGTGCAAAATTCTGCAAAATAGTGGTATATCTATTTTTAAATTTCGTATAGTACGGGAGGTAAACTTGATCGACCGGGTTCTTGAAATATTTACAAAAATGTGTTTTATTTTGATTCCAAGAATACGCAGTAGTTCCATGTCGGAATATTGGGACATTCTGTATATTGCGTATTTACATTTCTCAGTTTTGTGAATAATTAAAGAAACGGCTATAAATTAATATAATGCCGCCACCGCACATGCGGCAGTCGGCGATTTCCGAGCGCTCATCATCGGACTTCCGTCCACACATGCTGGCATCGCTGAGCTCTGATAGATCTACTTTGGATATACAATACGATGGAAAAAAATACGTTGGCTTTGAAATGAAGATCGCTGTTATTTTATATATAAATTTATATGGGAAATGTCATCGATCGTCATTCCCAAGCCAACTAAACGCCGTTTTTTTCTATACTTACATCGAACTGGAAACAGGCCTTCGTCTTTCGCGTTTGACGTAATCCAGGGTACGTCATACAAATCTCCTCTCTTTATTATCTCATAAGGATGTTCGCTTATAAAAGGGTTGTTCGAATCGTGTTCTATCACTGGACCGAACGTGATGAAAGGAACTCCGTCTTCGAATATATAAAGTGATCTAGTAGCGTTCATTAAAGCGTTACCGTCAACTTTTTTCAAACATTCCACCAATTCTTCGGACGAAGAGGTGGGACATGTTAGGTTTTTAGAGACGGTTTTTGCATTTTCCAGGGGGGATTTATGAAGGGCCCAGCAGTGAAGAGCCGAGCCGCTTTGAGAAAGACCTCTGTGAAATAAACCTGAAATATTTAAGAAAAAGTGCATTCGATATTTCAAAAAACATATTTTTTTGAAGAGGTAACTACACTCAGATGCAAAAAGCGTAGCGGAAAAAATTTTGGTCAAGTTTGGTTAATTTTTAAGAGCAACATAAACTTGTCACAAAAATTTTGCAATTTTTTCAATTATCCTTACTTCTTGATGTTATTCTTCACAATGACGAGGTGGCTTTGTTGATTATTGTAGTGCGAGATTGAATATGGTTCTTAATGCCGAAGATGGAAAAAATTCGTTGATCTTGTTGAATATGTCCGAAATTATGAATATTCGCTTGTTCCTTGAAGAAGAATGGGAAAATATAACACAAAATATTTGCAGTCTCATTAACAGTATGAACCGACTCTACAGACAGTATACAAAATATTATTAGAGTATTTTTTACAAGTTTTTTTTTCTTTGTACACCTAGTTATTACAGTTATTGTTTTTAATATGTTTGTTTTGTTAGTTCTGTTAGTGCTACTAATATTTATTAAAACCAAACCTGTATCGTAAATTTTTAACGTTTTTCAAATTTTAATATAGAGTTCTAATCGGTGTCGATGACATCATAAAATGATGACATTACGACAATAGTCACCAAAGCCACCTCTTGATATTAAAAAATAAGATTGTAAAGTAATGATAGATGAAAAAATTGCAAATTGTTGGTGGCAAGTTCATTTCGTTCCTAAATTTTAACCAAGGCATGTGTTGATACGAGTCAAAAAATAAAATGCTCAGGAGACATGGTTCTGAACGAAAAATAATGTTTTAGGAAAAATTACTCAGAAAATTATTGCACAGGGTGTTTAAAAGTTAAGGTAAAAAACAACCCTTCAATTAACCCTCTGTAATAAGCCAAATACTAAAGTTTATAAAAAACTTAGTTTATGAATTAAAGTCGATAAATTTATATACAGTTTGCTAAAAATATCTTGAAAATAGGACTAAAGTAAAAAAATATAACACTTTAAACTTGACGAAAATATGTCCCTTTGTGTTTTTTTGCACCTGAGTGTATTAAGAGCTAACCTAAACTAGTTAGTTAAGCCTAACCTAACCTAACCGTATAATACTAATAATCATTTGAATATTGTCCATCAGTGACTAAAAATGGTTGAAATGGCTGAACTATGTTCTTTTCACATTTAATATACAAGGTGGTTGACCTATTCCACTGCTATCTGTTCAAGCCTTATTGTGGCCCCTTTATCTCTACATAGATTACATTTATTATACCGTTATATCTCCTTTTTGAAATAACCTTCCATTCAAAAAATTTCAAAATATAATATATACTACTAACATCAAAATGTTTGGGGTACCTTTAGAAAGCGGTGACAGATAATGATAATGAACACTGGCAGCTCCAGCTGACATTCCTGTTAGTGTTATAGAAGCTGGGTTTCCTCCGAAGAACTTAATATTCTCTTTTATCCATTCCAGCGCCAAGGATTGATCTTTAAGTCCGTTATTTCCAGGAACGATGCCATCTTCTGTGCTTAAGAATCCTAAAAACCAAAAAAAATGGCAATCTAATTAATTTGAAATTTGCTGTGTTCGAACTATATTTTAGATATAGAGGTCATGTTCTATCGTGTTTAGAAAAATACATACTGCAATGAAATATAATTGTTATTGAACACAAGTGAATTACTTTGAATTACTAATTAAATTATTTTTCAATTATACTGTACCTAGAATATTTAATCTGTAATTGAAAGTGACGTAGACCACATCATGATCCATAAGAAATTGCGGTCCAGCTAAATATTTTGGCGATCCTAATACAAAACCACCTCCGTGGATATGGATTACTACGTCTAAGAGCTCGTTGGGGTTGATGTCTTCTCTTGGAACGTAAACATAAAGATATAAACAATCTTCAGTTCCTAAAACATAATTCATACAAGATAGCATGTGCCCTTGAAGTCAATAAATAAAAATAAATTATTTACTTTTTCGTCCAAAGTAAACCATTAAACTATTACATCACATTGTATAAACCCTCGAAATGCAGATTTTTATTGGCAAATCCTCTTTTTAAGAAAATTTTAGGAGTACTATTTTGAAAAAAAAATAAATATTGTGCATAGAGATGTTTACCTCGTGGCCCAAAGAAAAGTGGAAACGGTATGAACTGCAAACATTCATATTGCTTATTCGCTACCAATGTATCCTTCCAAATACTGGCTGGTTGAGGTTCCTAAATAAATCTTATTGTAGTTGTGCACAATATATATATGTATATATTATGCACTATATTAAGAAGTGCTGCTACTACAACTTTTAATAGTTAAGCATTAATGATGTCACGAATATTCGCATATTTTGTGATATTCGTATTCGCATTTTCAAAATTTATGCTAAAATCAACGTTCGAAAAATGATATCAAATATAAATATTATTAAGTACCTAAATTAAAATAAATAAATATGAATTTCTCATAATTTTTAATTATACGTATAAATATAATTTTATTAGGTACTTAATCAGTCTCCACTTTAATTAGTAATGGTTTAGTACTATAAATCTTCCTCTAGGAGATGCGAGACCTTGTCGTTTGGTGGTGAAGCTCCTAGTCAGGTGCTCGGGGGAATCCCCTCTGGCACTTTGGCTGGGTCATAAGGAGCATCTCATTGTCTTGTCGCTGTGATCATACCAAGCACTCCCTACTGTCTGTGATCATGTATCACGAGGTTTGGGGGGGGGGTCAGATTAACCTCTCGGACCAAGAGGACCAAAAACCTAAATCCTATGATGGCGGGACCAGGTCAAAGGGCTAGGTAGAAGACTAGCCTCTACTGGTCTATCGACGCAATCAGCCGAGTAGTCACCATTGCAAGGAGTGTAAAGGAAGGGAATTGGAAAAATAAAGGATATTGTGCATTAGCTAACTTTAGATGTCAAAAATGCTTTAAATATTGCAAGATGGGGAGAAATTATACAAGCCTTGCCTTGGATAGAAAAGATTTCCCAGAATATCTGAAAAATATGGTGAATAGCTATCTTGCAGAGAGGAAAGTATTCTATCAAACGTGTGAAGGAACAAAGATGTATGACATGACAATAGGAGTTCCTCAATGGGAGTCCCTCCTATGGAACATATTTTATGATGAGCTTATGGAACTGGAAAAACCAAGAAGTTAAACATATTTTAGAAAATAATTATCATAATATTCACAAATTAGATTGTGCCAAATTGTGATAATACTTTGTATTACCTATCTTAAGGAATTTATATAATTTTTTTGAAGGTATTTTTAAAATGTATATTTTAGATGCACAAATGCCACATGCCGCTATAAAAAAAATAATTAAAAATATTATTTATTTACATTAACGTTAAAATACAATAGTTGTTAAGAAATATTGTGTATTTTATTGCCTACTTTATTTTTTAGTGTTTTAAGTACAAGGATTTCGAATATACAGGGTGTCAAAAAAATAGTGTATAAACATGTGGAATAAAGAGGGTGGGCGATAAAAATAAAATAAAAAGTTACTATAAACATATGTTCTAAAATTCTTCCCGAAGAAGCTACAGCCCTCGAAAGTGTAAATAAAAATAATATATTTCGTTTATTTTTAAGACCATTGGCAAACCGTTTTTGTTGAAATTTCGTACTCTTTCACACATTTTAATGTCAAAGCGAATGGTGATAGTGTAATATACATAACAGCCCTGAGAGAGTGTTTTCCATTAGGGTAGAGAATACTACTGGTGGTATTTCTTTTATCCTTATAGATACAGTAATTTCAATAAATGAGAATTAAAGCTAGAATTTTTTTTATGTAAAAAACGTCCTCTTCGTTTAGTTCGAAACAGTGAACGGTTTTCAAGATATTTGCGTTTAAAGGTTCCGGTGCATCGATTTTAGTATTAGCGAAATCAGGAAATTTTAAATAAATCATTAATAATTTATTCAAAATTTCTTTACATTTTATCATTTCACTAATACGAGTACTAAAATCGATGCATCGTAACCTTTAAACGCAAATATCTTGAAAACGGTAAAAGTTACTATAAGTGTTAACTACATATGTTAATGCTAAAAAGTGTCGATAAATTCATCAGGGACGTACATATGGATTATCACGGAATCATGGGAATATTTTTCAAAAAAAAAACGTGTGCGCCACTAATTTTTTTTCTTTTGAGATCAAAATCGAGTAGACCGTTTAATGCCAATTAAAAATTATCTCTTAAAATTTTGTCGAATTCGGCCTCCTTGATGAGATAAACGCAATTTTATTAATCACAATTAATAAAATTAACATAAAAATTAAATTAATAAATAAGTTACTATAAGTGTTAACTACATATGTTAATGCTAAAAAGTGTCGATAAATTCATCAGGGACGTACATATGGATTATCACGGAATCATGGGAATATTTTTCAAAAAAAAAACGTGTGCGCCACTAATTTTTTTTCTTTTGAGATCAAAGTCGAGTAGACCGTTTAATGCCAATTAAAAATTATCTCTTAAAATTTTGTCGAATTCGGCCTCCTGAAATTATGCATTTCCATACCCATGTTTATAGGAAACTTTTTTTATGAGGAATCAATGAGTACTTATTTAAAACTTTCGCAAGTTACTGATATTAATTTTTATAACGGTTGTTTTTAGACTTGGATCAATGCAAAACAATAAAATTGCCTTTATCATATCAAGGAGGCCGAAATCGACAAAATATCAAAAGACAACGCTAACAAGAAAAATTATTCGCTAACAAGAAAAAAAAATCAGTGGCTGACATGTGTTTTTTTAGAAAAATATTCCAGTAATAACCCATATGCACGTCCCTGGTGAATATGTCGGCACTTCTTTAGCTTTAAAATATGTCGCATTTAATGTAATTTTTACCCTCAAAATTTTATTCGAAACGTTAAAAGTACTTGGAAGAAAATTATAATAAATCGAAAAAATATTAAGACTTTCTGTAGCTACGAGACAAAGCAGAATCGGGCCTATGTTGATATGAAAAATAAATCTTATTTTTACGTGAGGAATCTCCCCACGAGAGATGGCACATGTTTTTTGAAACACCCTGTATAGTCTGTCCAGCGAGTCAGGAAAGATTTCAGATTTCTAAAAATGACAGAAAATATCGGTCACTGTGAGGAATCCTTCCGATCCTCCTATCGAACTGACCCTAACTAATATACATACATTTTGAATAAATAATTACCTGAAACCTTAGATCTCCTATGGGCGGTTTGGCATACGGTATACCCTCAAATGAAGAAAACGTTTTATTTTTGTACGATTTTTTGTATCTCCCTTTTATCAGACCCTGTGGAATTTTAACAATGGGTCCATCGGGGTTGATTTGGCCAGAAACAAATACACCTACATACCATTCAACTGAATAAGAAAACCATTTTTAATAAATACAACTTTTACTTACTAAATAAAACTAAACACAATATTTTTACATAACCGGACATGTTACTCGATTTGTATATTTCGAAAATCTAACTTTTTGCAGACCGGCTTTTCTAAATATTACTTACCTACACTTAATTAATGAATTGCGATGGTGCTTTACAATGAAATATTTCAGAGGCATGACATATGATTATAATTTACTATACTTATCATACTATTCGAAACATATTTTTTTACAGGTACGCTTATGGTTTCGACGAATGTCAATAGGTAATTAAATAATTACGTTTTTAAATACAAGTTACTTACCTAATATTTATTTGTCGATATACTAGGTATACATTTAATATGAAAAATGTTTTACTAATTGTAATTAAATAAGCGGGTTCGGAAGACTTTGACCTGTTAAGGGAAATGACAGGAAACGACTCAGATGTGAAGTTATAAACACAACTACAACGATATTATCAAAAAGTCTTTTGATTAAACATTCTTTACATGTCAATATACAAATATGAAGTTTCATCCTATTTTTTACTCGAATTTAGAAAATAGCTTTACAAAAATCCGAGGAATTAAATATGTCAAATTTCCTGTAAAAGTAGTTTATATAATAGTCACACACTACATTAAAAACCTTATCGTTACATGGCTAATTTTTCTTTTGAAGTATCTTTCTGTGTAGCCATTATGAAATAGTCATGTCTGCCAGCGCGATCCAGGGGCTTAAAGCGAGGGCGGCCAATCGAAAGGGTTAAATTTTGGCACTAAAAACCGATTCACGGCCATGGCACGTTAGACTTTTATGGAGAACCGATGATAGGATTTTTTTGAAAATTTGGATTTTTACATAAAGGCACCTGCTACATCTGTCGAAATTATTTTCAGCATTACAGTGTTGCCGCTTCATACTAAAAGTAGTAACATTTTTGTTATTTTAAATGGAACACCCGGTATATTATTACATTTTTAAAACTACTTTGATATCTCATAATTTTTATATTATACTAAATAAAATGTGTAAAACTGACAAAAACATGATATTGAATAAGCATTGGTTAAATCATAAATTCGGCATATTGAAAGCTGAAATTTGGTTTATAGGTTAAGGCGATCGGATATCAAACAGGGCCAGAAACAATTATTTCCGTTTGTTATAAAATTACTCAAATCTTTGTTATTTTAAATTCAACCCTAGGAATATTATTTAAAAATCAAAACCCAAATAAAACTGCTTTTCAATGATAATGTAAAAATCAGTAAAGCCATTTAAAAGATAATAATTCTATTATAATTGTTTCGTTTAAAGAAATTCGTTGCCATGACAAATATTCAAACTTTGTAAGTAACAATTAGAGTTTACGTGCTAAATTTCTAAAATTGTCATATCGAAATTCTTGAAATGAAACTATAACAGAATTACTATTAATTTTTAGATAGCTCTACTTAAGAAACCGGAAGGTTTAGGTATAGGAACATAATTTATCGTTGAAAAGCAATTTTATTATTTTTTTGATTTTTTGAATAACATTAATAGGGCTGAATTTAAAATAACAAAGATTTGAGTAATTTTATAACAATCGGAAATAAATAATATTTTTGCTCTATCTGTGTAATATCCAACTGGTTTTTTTAGACTTTAGACAGATCGAATATATCGACTTTCTTTAGCATATAACCCAAATTTCAACTTTAAAAATGTTTATTTAATTCATGATTTTACCAATGTTTATTCACGATCATATTTTTGTCAATTTTACACCATTTTTTTTTATCTTATACACTATTACAGATAGGTATAGGTTGGTATAATAGAAAAATTATGAGATTATGAAAGTAGTTTATAAAAATGTAATAATATACCGGGTGTTCCATTTAAAATGATAGATGAGAAAGATGCTACCACTTTTAGTACGAATTTTCAAAAAAAAAGAAAAAAAAAATCATCGGTTTTCCATAAACGTCTAACGTGCCGTGAAACACCCTATATACGGTAGTCGTCCAAAAAAGTTCTGAATTAATTTTTTTTATGAAGTTTACCCTTTTCAAGGTAATTGATGTGAATGACATCGTGTGCATCCCAAAAAACTGTGGCCGTGGCTTTGTTGGCCAACAGACCCACCTTGGGCGGCACCACCGAAATAAATTCGGTAATTCCACCTTAGCCCAAGCCAACCTATTTTTCTATGCCTAAGAGCGCTTTCACACACACCGGCAAAATCACCGGATGATCGATTGCAATATAAATAAATTAGCTCCTTCACATATACTCCGATTCGGTAAAATAGTCGGGGATCGAAAAATACAATAGAAATAAATACAACTATCGTAACGTGTGCAAAGTCCGACATGGACTCCGATTTTGCCGGTGTGTATGCAAGCGCTTTTAGCCTTCTATGATGCACGCTCATTCTCAGAAACTCACTGTATTGATTCTTCCTTTGTCTGTATAATAGATGACAATTGATAGGAGCAGTGCGTGCATTTAAAACTACAGCACAAGCAATTCAAAGTCACTTCTCCAACTGACCCTGTACATTTCAGTTTCAGTGGACAGTTTGACGCCGCCGCGGCCGCGCCGCGCCGTCGTTGTTATGAATTAGTTAATTTCAAAATTCTGAAATAAAACTATATCGTTGAAAAGGAAAATTTAAGTTTTATGATATTTAGATATACAAGGTGTGACAACGGGGAAGGCAGATAAGAAAAATCGGGAAGTAGAAATAAAATAAAAATTTCAAAAACATTAAAACTTTATTAAGTGTAAAAGTCAATATGCAATAATGGCACATTTTAAAGCACTAAACATAAAAGCATTAAATCTACTAACTTTTAAATCACGAGGTAATATGTAAATGTATATTGTTCTGTATTTTAAGCTGCTTTAACAAATCCAATTTGTTTATTTCCAATATCGTAAATAGAATAATATTCAGAGAGGAAAGCACCTCCTAACACCCACATATTATTCGTGTCTGATGGAATAAAAGCGGATACGCAGAAAGTGAAAGAGTGCCATGTCATCTGTCAAAATATAAAAAAAATTAGTATTGCTACAAAGTTAAATATTGAAGATTTCAAAAATTTAATATTCCATTATTTTTAGATATATGAAAATACAACACCGCAATGTTGAGAAAATAGATTGAATAATCCATTAACTGTTTTGTTCTCCATAAAACCTACCATCAACAGGAAATCGCGTTATATTTACCTTTATGGTATAATCACGTCCTTTGAGCGTAAAATTTTGTCCTCCAAGAACAAAGGCCATATCGGGTAATTTGTTAATTGTCTCGCACGCAACCTAAAACAAGTTAAAAATACCCTACTCAAAACAATTATCGCATATATGAATAAAAATAATTATTATATTGTAAATGACACATTCATTTTTCTGCCTTTCTCTTATGAGTTTTTTTAGAATAATTAGGGTACGCACTGACATGTAATTTCTAGTCGACCGAGTATTTAGTTGCAAAAGTGAAAACAATATATTCTTATGGAGCCGATAGGACCAATATTTGATTACCTTAGGCTATGCGCTGACAGGCAATTTTTAATCGGCCGACTATTCAGTTGCATATTTGTAACCAATATATGTATATCCTTATGGAGCCGCGCTCACATGCAATCAAATAGTTGGCCGATCGACTTCATAACTATGTATACCACCAAAGTTAGATACACTATTTTTTTTGAGACCCTGTATACAGGGTGGCGCACCTCATTCGCCTCGGTTGACTATACGAAAACGGAAAGATGTAGAAACAAAATATTTCATGGGTATATGTGGGAAAAAAATGTGCATAATTTAAAATTACTTTGAAATGTACAGGGTGTGTCAGAACTAAGATCCATACCAAAGTTATATTTTTTCTTTTGGATCACACACACACACACACACACACACACATACACACACGGTATTTTATTTCATTTTTGAATTCTAGGGCATAAAATAAGGCATTTATTGTAAGGGTTAAGTATGTTTAAAAGCTAGATATTTAAATATGCATGCTATAATAAAAAAGATTGTCAACACCCTGTACATTGCTTTTCAGAATTAATTCTTGTGCTGACTTTTAAGCCGAAAAAATTAGCTTCACTAAAAAATTTGATTGCTTCATTTAATGTATACAGGGGTATCAACAATTGCTGGTCTATTTTAAATATTTACTTCACATAGAAACTTTGTTATTTCAAATACAACACCCTGTATTTTTTTAAATAAATCGAAGCAGATTCCAATGCTCTTTCAAACTATATTACAGTTTCCTATACCTATCTAGCTCAGATTTTGAATAAAAAGCAATTTTTCAATAAAATGGCAACCAAGAGTGTCGTCATGGCAAATTTCTAGTGACAGTTAGTAGCTATTTAAAAAATCGAAATTAGTTTATGAACTTATTTAAATTTATACCAGTTTATTTTTATGTAATTTACCTACAATCGTTTAATAAATAATATTTATTATTCTATGAAGAAAAACGAAGACGTAGTTCTTTGATTTATTTTACGATGACTTGTAGATATATTAGTTTTTTATAAATTCATTTTCTCCTAACCACAAGTTTCTGCCTCATAGGCTTTTTATAAACCACACATACCAACTCTGCGAAATAGGACATTCTTCATTTTTCTTGATAAAATAATGAATACTTATTAAACTATTGTAGGTAAATTTAAGTAAACTGTTATAAATTATAAATAATAATGTCCATAAACTAATGTCGATTTTGAAAATAGTTACTAACCGTCACTAGAAAATTGCCATGGCGACAGGCGTCACCAGGCATCTCGATTGCCATTTTATTTAAAAATCGCTTTTTATTCAAAATCTGAGTTAGATAGGTATAGGAAATCCTAATATGCTAAGTGTTGCATTTGAAATAACAAAGTTTTTATATAAAATAAATCCTTAAAATAGATCAGCAATTTTTGGTACCCCTGTATAAATTTAAGGAAGCAATAACATTTTTCAGTAAAGTATATTTCCCTACCTAGCAAGAATTAATTCTAAAAAGTACTGTGTACAGGGTGTTAATAATCTATTCTATTGTAGCATGCATATTTAAATATCTTTAAATATCTCAAAAACCAAAGATTTTAAACATATTTAACCCTTATAATAAATGCCTTTTCTTGAGCCCAAGAATCTAAAAATGATATAAAATACCGGGTGTTCCGTGATAAAATATAACTTTGGTATGGATCTTAGTTCTGAAACACCCTGTATATTTCAAAATAATTTTAAATTGTGCACATTGCCTCCCCACATATAACCATAAAATATTGTTGCGGACCCGTGTGAACTCGGCCTTAGGCCTGGCCACTCGGCTATGACTCATACGCCCGGCAACGTTCGAAAACGAATAGAAGCTGCGGTGAGACGAAGAACGCGGCTAGAAATTTTCGAGACAAATCTGGATTGTCTGTTTCTCTCATATATAAGCCGATGCCCGAAGCCTGAGGAGGACAGAGAAAAACAACCGGTCGACGCGTACAGTTACAATCGCCGAGCTAAATTCAAAATAAGTGGAAGTATTTTAACTGCTAGTATAGTTCGACCCTAGAAACACTTGAGGTTTATTTTGCATACGGGCATGCATTTTGTATATTTTGCGAAAAAAAATGTTGGAAATTTTATATTTTCTTGACATTTTCCGAAAAATATTGAAAAACTTTTGAGTGCTGCTTGTTCAGCTTCCGAAATTTGTTTATGGTGCTTGGAGAGAATGCAATGTTGCCACCTCCTACGCTATCCACATTCTATATGTTTATAAGTTTACATCTTTACACGGAGCATACGCGACCCATGTGAAACTGTTCACATAAACTCATGGTACTTGCTCTAAGTCGCGGACGGTCCGTCGCGGACGCTCCGCTCTATCTGAAAGCGCTGTAAAGAATGATAACAGGGCTTTCCGCGACTTCCTTTCCTTTGACCGTCCGCGACTTGGAGCAATATCGCAATATAGTCGCGTATGATCCGTCCGGATGAGCTATCTTGAAAAAAACATCCGCGCGGACGGTCCGCTCCATCTGAAAGCGCTGTTACGCAAACACGTGCCCACCACATATGTACGGTATGATAAAAAAAACGGCGTCAGCGATGGCTATGAAATGAAGATCGCTGTCATTTTATATGTAAATTTATATGAGAAATGTCATTGATCGTCATTCCCTGGCCAACTGGACCCCGTTTTTTTTTCGATCATACGGTATTAAACTGAACATCACATATTATAACTTTTAGCAGAATATTATTGAAGTGAAACTTCTTTACGCGTGATGGGAGTAAAAATTGAAGGCCGTCACACTGCCGGGACGGCCGTAATACATGAGACACGAGAGGAAAAGTGGTAACGTTGACTTTTTGATCTTGGAGCGTCGTAACTCGGGCCCTATGTGAGCTAGGGGGCTGAAACTAAGAATGTAGATGAGGATCGAAGAGTCCCACCTTTTCATAATATTTTGATGACGTTTCGTGCACTATGAAGCCCCTTTATCAATAGCGGAAAAATCGTCCGATTTAACGGGTTTTGGAACGTCGTAACTCGGGCCCTATATGAGCTAGGGAGCTGTAACTCGGAATGTATGTCTTTTTTTCTTTTAATAATATTTAAATAATACGGGAATAATTTGACGAAACCCCATCATCAATGAATCAAACCAAAAAATCGTCTGATTTAAATTAAATTTGGTATGTCGATAGATTGGACCAAGGCCGACTTTACTGTGTACGTCACGTGTCACTGTGACAGTTAGTTTTGCCGTATGAAATGTCAAAACTTGATATCGTCCGATCGCGACCAAATTTGGTGGGCAGGCTATGTGAGCGACGGTGCACAGGGTCCCACCCTGCAAAGTTGGATAGGATGTTCTTCATCAGGGTGGGACTAAGGATTTGATACTGAAGAAAAATGTGGATCGATTTCGGCATAATTGGGGACGGGCTACAGGATGACGCCATAGACGCGATGCCTCTAAATAGATTAAGTCATCAGGATTTTTCTTAATTACCTATGGGTCGAATGGAACCAAACTCGGCACGTGGATAGAGAGGTACCAAAATGGAGTTCTCAGACTGACAGACAGGCAGACGGAAGTAAGAAAAAGTTTCAGTTCAAATATGCGCACATAGTGCACACAGAATTTTTTTAAATTTTTACAAATCAAACAATTCTACATAAATGCATTAAACATTTTATTATGGCGTATTAACTCATGATATGAATATTCCGAGAAGAGTCCCATAGAAGAGACCGATGACATGATTTTTTGAATCAGCGCCCTCTATTACATATCGCGGGTGATCTGGCAAATGTTCCTATCTACTGAAACAATAACCTTACAGGAGGCAATAAAAACGGTATTTTCAAAAACGGAACGGCTTAGAAGGCTGGGCTATTGAAAATACATTATAATATGTTTTCTATTAAATACTATTTATTTGGAAGCAATTAAACTGTAAACTTGTTTATTAAATCAGATAGGATTTTTTGCTTTTGATAAAATGGCACATAGGATTATTTGTATTTTAGGATTATAAAGGATAAGACGTTTTGCTTGTGGTAAAAGTAAGATAGGATAATTTGCTTTCATAGTTTTATAGTATATATAGTAAATATATAGTAAATCACCTTAATTTTAGTTCAAAATAGAACTAAAAAATCCAGCAAGCACAAGAAGCGTGTCACGACTAGCTGGTTTTTAACGCAAAGTTATGAAGATAGGAGAAATTGCTTCTTAATATCACCTGATTATAGATAGGAGCTTTTGTTTTTTAATCAAAATAAGTACGTTTGTGTGACCAGAATAACAGCTGGTTTCAGAAAGGTTTTCTTTTTTTAAATTGTGCCGTAATTTTTTTTTATTTTCAGATATTACCTTTTGTCAATACGTGCATAATGACTCATAGAACGTTATGCTAAAATAATCTCAATTTTGAAAAAAATTCATAGGAGCATTTGCCAGATCACCCGCGATATGTAAATAGTAAACGTTTGACCTACATAAATACATCAGCTGATGAGCTGAATTTTAAATTATGGTTGTCCAATCTATTTGAGAGTTTACTCAAAACAGTAAACCTCTAACAAAACTCAAAAATAGGCAAATATAAGCTAAACCTGTAAAAATACTTTTAATATTCAAATAGAAATATCAAGGACTTTTCATAAAAACAAGTGTGAGATAGAAAAACCGAGGAGTTTAAATTCTTAAAAAATAATCCTAAGTAATTCAGATGGCATATGAATTGTATTTTGTGCCATATACACGTGGGTATTCAGGTGTAGTGCGGTCAAGAATCGCAGTTAAATGTAGTGTTGATAAGTGTAATCTTGCAGTTTTAGGTAAAGTGATAAAAGCTACCGGAGCTACCATCCTTGCACTTATTCCTGAAACCCCCAGTATATTACAACAATTTTACTTACAGTATATTTTCCAATCCATGTCTGACGTGCCTTAATAGCAACGTGAATTTTGTCAACTTGATCTTTTGGACCATAAATACTTGTACCGCTAGTATCAGAAATAGCAGTACAACTTTCATTGCAAAAAAAGAAGGTGTTATCTTTATCTCCATTAAAATAAACACTAAAAATATAGTTATCAAGAGGCTTATAAATAAATAAAACTATTTTAAACTTACCCATCTAAATCAAACTGCCAATACGCTCCCGCTTTCAAAGGCAAATACTTAATAGGATCATAAATAGTGTGATTATTAGCGTCCTTCTTGGAATGGACATGTCTGTATTCAATAAAGCCCAAAATGATATTTCCTCCATGTTCTGACTGCGCATCTCTATAAAGAATCACATTTCTAAATTTAAGGAGCGCTTAAAAACTTTTAGTCAGAGAGTTGGCGACATATTTTAGGTAAGTTAGAGTAACAAAAAATACCCAGAATCCTAAGTCGGGCAGAGGAGTTGCGGTTATTTCGCGACTGCGCAACCTTTGGCATTTACAAAAAAATAAATCCAAAAAATATCCTTTAGGCAACTTGAAATTTGTTTATTCTTAAATTTTAGCATCTATTTAACCTAGAAATAAGTATGCCAGATTTTTTTTTTCGGTTTTAGAGTGTGACCCCACCATCACAAATATATTTGTCTTATATAAAATCTTTATTCGCGCCAGGCAAGTATTAACAACCGTTGAATTCGTCTGACGATTAACCCATATTTTTTTAATATTATCTAATAAACACGCCATAAAAAATTTATAATGCCTAAAGTACAGTACGTCTGTCCGTTCTATAGCTACGGAGTATCCGTGAGAGGGGAAACGATATTCTCTCGATTTCTTCGTAAAAAATTAGACGATACGTCCCATCAATAAAAATTCGACAAATTTTCAAGTATAGCCAATAAAATGAGTGGGCGGGGCGATTTGCGGTGACGTACTCGTCAAGTCGACATATAAAATATGTCCGCATTACTTTCATAGACACAGATCCAGCAAACGTACTGTATATTTTCCAGGTGTAATTATTAAATATAAGTAATAATAAACAAATTTCAAGTTGCCTAAAGGATATTTTTTGGATTTATTTTTTTGCAAATGTCATAGGTTGCGCAGTAGCAAAATAACCACAACCCCCCTGCCAGACTGCCAGGGTTCTGGGTTCATCAGTTAATAAACTATAATTTGTTTGTCATTTCAACTTGCATAATAGTATATTGTTTTATTAGGAGTTTGACTTGTGACATGCAGCCGAGGCACAATAAGTCATTTTTACTCAGAATAGAACATCCTATTTTTTTTCAAACGCCACAAATAATTTTTTAAACAATTTCAAACGTTCCAAATAACATAAAAGATTTAAGTCATACCTTGTATGTAATTTATATTGAGAAACGATGGTTACGGCTCGTTGAATTTGACACTTTATATCAGTTTAATAATATATTTCCGTACTTTTATGCTTAGGTGTAAAAGTGCATTACTTTTATGCCTAGGTGTTAAATGACTTTTTTATATTGTCAATCGGGTCACAAAAACTAATACTTTTGTGACGTTTGAAAAAAAATGTTCTCTAAATATGTCGTCAGCTTTTAGACTATTTGATTTTTTGTTTATACCTGTTTAGATATATGGAGAATAAAGGATCTTTAATTTTTCCTTGCTTCAAAAGATTATAAAAAATTGGAACGTAGGCATCCGACTCCGTTTGAAGACCTAAACCAAGAACGCCATCAATTTTACTGAAGATGTACGATTTAGGTACATTAGTTATTTCGGCAAATAGTTGACTTGTGACGTTTGAATGTCCTATCTATAAAAAAGCAATGTTTCTCTTAAAATACATCCTGGAAATTTTTCAAAACTAATCATAATTTATTAAAAATTTGAAGTAAATTTAAACAGATAATTTGCATAGGGTACTTACATAAAAATTGTCGTACGACAAAAATCCACTTAGATTGTAACTACCTTCGGGAATATTAATGGGCGTGCCGTCTTTTTTGTACCCCGAAGATTTGCTATGATCATATTTGTTATGGTACACTAAAATGGTTGGATTAAATCATTAAAATTGGAAATTATTACTTCTAATACAGTAGACATTTCATTGTAAGGACATGAGCTACCAAACATTTTAAATAATGTGTATATAAGTATCTAACTAATATTTTCATTAAAAATAAATTCTCAGCTTCTTTAAATGCTAAGTTATGCAGTTTTTAGTAAATATTGCAACAAGATATTAGGTATAGGGTGATCATTCGGCTAGAGCGTCCCCTTATGTATTATGTGCCGTGGTATTAGCATGTATTACACAAACTTGCATATATACGTAGAAACGAGAACGACTCCCTATAAACTTTTTTTAAAGTGATTCCCTTATTTTTGAGTCTAAACTGACATACGCCATTTACAAAAACTGTTTTCTCTCTAACACAGTTATATGGATATTTAGTATTAAGCTAACTCCATTATTCCTAATTTTACAGGAGAGCAAAAAAACGGTATAAAAAATGGAAGTAGGAAGTATTTTCACGCTTTAATATGATAAAGAGATAAGAATTGTATTCGCTGGGGAACAATAAAACTCGCAGATATTCGTCTTGCAGAAATAAGAAATAAAAATATACTTCTGGAGATAGCAACCTTTATTGTTTGAAATTTTTAAAATGGAATTGAATATTACCCAAACAGATTTAGAAATAATCAATAAAATTTAAAAAATATGATATTCATAACCATATATTTATAATATCGTCGGTCTAGAAGCAAAACATACAAGTCCAAAAACAAATAAATTTTTTAATGCATTTTAAATAATGTGTATATAAGTATCTAACTAATATTTTCATTAAAAATAAATTCTCAGCTTCTTTAAATGCTAAGTTATGCAGTTTTTAGTAAATATTGCAACAAGATATTAGGTATAGGGTGATCATTCGGCTAGAGCGTCCCCTTATGTATTATGTGCCGTGGTATTAGCATGTATTACCACCGTATTACCACAAACTTGCATATATACGTAGAAACGAGAACGACTCCCTAACGTTGAAAAAAATAAAACTGATTAGGTATTATGGAAATTCTTGTACAAGTAAGTAATGGTTATTTAAACTATTTATAGCACGCCAATGAATTGCTCGTATATAGAGAATTTCGTTTTTCCCCTTACCCTTTACGGATACCCCGTATTTACAGAACGGATTGACGCAGGATCGAACTGATCATATTATATATATAACTATTAGGGAGGCCCAGCCTTCGCGAGCCTCCTTTATAGTTCATTATTTATTTTTAACAATATTTGCTTTTGCATTCCATTATGGCATTTGCATTGCATTGGTTTACCTTAGGATAGTTCCCTGATTTCTATACAGGGTTAGCCTTAAACAAGTGCAAATATTATCAGGGCTGGTAAATCTCCATAAAAGAAACATAATATTTTCTCTTTACCGTTTTTTCAAATAAATCCAAAACAACCGAGTTATTTCACTTTTAAAATTTCAAATTTTTTGCTATAATTTTGAGAATTTTCTTTCTTGTAAATTTAATCTTATACCTATGTTGCCATATTACAGACAAAGTATGTTTTTAAACTAAAAATTAAAAAAATTTCCAATTTTTTTTTTAAAATTCCAAATTTTCAAAAAAAAAATCGCACAAAAAACCTCATAATCGTGTTTCTTGGGTCGAAATATATTCTACCCCTAAAAATATTTGCACTTATTATTTAAGACTCACCCTGTATATAATAGGAAAAAATTGACCAAAACGTAAGGCGAAAAAATACGCAAAAAATCGACACTGGCCTCTCCTTACATTGCCACCCGGACCCCTTTGGCATAGTGCGACCCTGGATCGACGTACTGTACTAAAGAAACATACGAATTAAGATTGCGTGTGTTTGCTTTAGCGTGATCGTAACGGAAATTACGGAGATAGCAGCAATTCGGTGGCTATTTCAGATCACTGGGAGTTAGCAGATATTATTGAGTTAAAATAGCAAATTTTCTTTAATGGGAAAAATGTATTTGCGTTCCCTACTTATAGAGTATTTTTTTCTCTTTCTAATGGTATAAAAAACATATTAACGTAAAAAATGGAGTTAGCAGGTTATCACGTTTCAATGACGATATATTAATTAATAAACACCGAGAAAATTACGATCGTTGAAATTATGAGTTTGAGGATTCCCCAGTATACTGTCATATCTGTTAATGTATAGATTTAGCTGCTGATATGCCGCTTCAGTTTGCAAACTGCAGTATGTAGTCTTAACTTACTCAACGCAATAGGCTTGGTGCATTGTACGCCGATGCTGCCACCATCGGAGAACATTGTAAACAACGGGTATATAAAAATACACGGGTAGGATTCTGCCGTATCGGGTACTGCGGTCGGAATTTTTAAAATGAATTGAAATGCACCAAGCGTTGTATAAAATATGCCCTGAAAGAAGTATATCGTGTTCTGGTTAACTATTTGTTCTCAGTTTTGTTTGGTTTTGTCTTCTTTTTGAAAAAAAAACGAGAAAATTCACAAAATACCATAGTATAAAATTTGAAAAAGCATCTGACTGATTTTCCAGACTATTGTCTTTGCGTTCTCCAAAAATAAATTCTCAGGCATTTTACAACACTATAGTCATATAGTGTTGTAACTGCAGATTTTATATTTTCCATATATGTACAGGGTGGGTCAAATTGGACGCTTTTAAAGGGAAACACCTTTTTCTATAGGAGATAGATGAAAACTAATATCGGTGTCTGTAGCTCAATTTTCATCAGATACATGGTGAAAACCGCACATCAATATCTGTTACCGTTTCGGAGTTACGGGGTGTTTTTTAAAAATGTCCATTTTTAACAAATCGCTTTGACTTTTTTGCTATGGAGAATATTTCTATGAAAACATTTCCAAAGCACCTTTTTACGTAGAATTTAATGGTTTCAGTATATTTCTTTTTAAATTAATAATTTAAGAGTTATCAACAGAAATTTTTTTTTATTTGGTTTGGTTTGGACACCCTATATATTTTTAATTAACTGAAAAGAACTTAAAATTACCTTTTCAAAAATATAGCGCACTTGATATTTTGGTAAAATCCCCTTCAAAATACAGAATTTTTAATTGCCGCCTAAACTAGTAGGCTTTGAATCCCTTATTGATGATATGTCCCTAATGGAACTCGAAAACATATTTTCCAGCAAGACGAGGCACCGCTTCGGAACGCGGAAGTTATCAGCAAATTTTTGCAGCCAATTTCAAGAGTAATTGAATACCTAACCAAGATCCCAGCCGTTGGCCGTCGAGGCAGCACAAGTGCCTATGGATCTAGTCCTATGGATATATTTGCGGAAGAATAAAGGATCTTATTTTTAAATTGCCCGTATAATCTAGACAAGAATTAGAAATACTTAGTAGTTATTATTAAGTTTAAAAAAATTATACTTATACCATTAAATTCTACGTAAAAAGGTGCTTTGGAAATGTTTTCATTAGAATACAAAATTTCCCATAGCAAAAAAGTTACAGCTATTTGTAAAAAATGCATATTTTTGAAAAACACCCCGTAACTCGAAACGGTAACAGATATAGATATGCGGTTTTCACCATCAAGTTTTTGACAAAAATTGAGCTCTAGACACCGATATTAGTTCTCATGTATATCCTAGGGAAAAGGGCGTCTCCCTTTAAAAGCGTCCAATTTGGCCCACCCTGTACATACATAGAAAATATAAAATCTGCAGTTGTGGAAATTTTACTTCATTTTATTATATTCAGAAATACAATACTTACACATTACTTTTTTCTTTGCTCTTGTTTCTAAAATGTTTTACACATTTAACATGTTAATTTTATTTGTAAATACATACATTACACATTACATATACATTATACCGTATGATCGAATAAAAACGGCGTCAACGATGTCTATGAAATGAAGATCGCTGTCATTTTATATGTAAAATTATAGGGGAAATGTCATCGATCGTCATTTCCAAGCCAACTGGACGCCGTTTTTTTTCGATCATACGGTACTTCATCAGACCTAGTTCAAGGTTCTGTGTGTGTTTTATTATTCACACTATCAAATGTCTACTGTACAGTTAATGAATAAAATATCTTATAGGATTTTTTGAATTTATATAGCAATAATTATTGTATAAGGTGTTAAGTATAGAATTACAATTTATAATTTTTTACCAGCCCTGGATATAAATGCAGACAGTGCAGGTTATAAAACTGGTTTTGTTAATTATTCAGTTTAACAAATTTTTAACCGCAGATCGAATTCTTCGTATGTTTACGATCTTTTTATATTAATTTAACTTACAACATCCTATACTTGTCCAGGGACACTGATCCGAAATAAGCCAACTTAATGTCCAAGCAGTGTCAAAAGCAACGTTCATTGACTGTCCAGGATGGCCGACGATAATTTTGGCATAAAATTCGTTCTAAAATGTATTATTTCCTTTAGGTATACAATATTATCGAACAAAATAACGGCGTCAGTGATGGCTATGAAATGAAGATCGCTGTCTTTTTATATGTAAAATTATATGGGAAATGTCTTCGATCGCGCGTCATTTCCAAGCCAACTGGACGCCGTTTTTTTTCGATCGTACGGTATTTCATTCCATTCTATAAACTTTTAATTGTTTATTAATCTATAATAGCTAGTAATAGTTTTGGGTAAAACATGGTAATATTAAAAATTTATTTGCATTTGGGTGTAAGTAATATTATGTATATTGGGAATAAGTATATTTAGTGTGATTGAGTCTTAAATAGGTGCAAATATTTTTAGAGGTAGTATATTTCAACCCCAGAAACACGATTATGAGGTTTTTTGCGCGAAAAAATTTTGTGAAATTTTTTTTTAGTTTCTAGTTAAAAACCATAATTTATTGATAATATGGCGACATAGGTAATAGATTAAATTTACAAGAAAGAAAAGCCAGAAAAGATCCAGTGGTTCTCAAAATTTAAGAAAAAAAATATATTTTTTCGGAAATTTTCGAAGTAAAATAACTTTGTTATATCTCGGTGATTTTAGACTTATTTGAAAAACGGTAAAGAGAATGTTTCTTTTATCGAGATTTACCAGCCCTGAAAATATTTGCACTTATTTAAAACTCACCCTGTATAACTACATCTGGGGCTAAAATAATGAGATACTAAAAAAATAGTTACTTGTATTTTCATAAAAATAAACTTTAAACTCCTAAATCCTGCCTAAATCATATACATTTTAGAAATCTATAAATAACTTTTTTTATCTTCCACTCATGGATGATAAGAACACATATATAGGTACATGCAAAATGTCATTTCCTAGTTGTAACAAGTTGTATCAATAAAAGTATCCATCCAGAAAAAAATATGTCAGTCGATATCTTATCAGTTTTTGCTGTACACACACAGATATAAAATTAAATGTAATTTACAAATATTTAATTATAAATTATGGTACTATTTTTCAGGAATCTTCAAAATATATGTGAACAATTTTAAAAAAAGTTTTATTACCTTCTGTTATTTGTCTGAAAAAATATAGAATCAGAATGCAGTGTGAACCATATTTTACCTATTCTCTCAGCTATTTGATTTTAACACTATACCTAGCTATATAATTTCGTTTTAATAAAGTTTAATAGCAGATGGTTAGAATAATTTATACTAGAATCATTGAACTTACATCATGATATCTGTATAAAGCAACAGAATCATTTGTTCTATTACTTGGTTTCTTGAAAATCCAGTCAACATTAAATCCATGGTTCCTTAATTTTTTAGCTGAATTAATATGTTGCTCAAGAGGAGACTTTTGTCGAATTAATTGAATGCTACAGAAATTTAATAATATATCACATAAAACTGAGAATTACTTTAAGTAGTCAAAACAAAACTTACCTTAAGCTAGCATCTGAATCATCAGCATAAGTAAACACAAATTTAATAAAATAAAACAGAAATAAATATAAACTCGCCCTCGGGATTAACATGTTTATATAGATTATTATTACTCAAGAAATTATATAAATAAATGAGTAATATAAAACAGAAGATTTGTTTTTATACTCCACCTAAACTATTTAAGCTGTGTACTTCCCTGAAATCTAAAATACGGAAACCGAAAATAAGACGGTTGTTTCCACTGTTCTCAGCGTTGCCAAATCATCTGGTAAAATTTCTTCAAATGAAATAAGTCTTCCAAAGTTAACATAAAATGCACATTTTTTTCATTTAAATAATGTTTCAAACCGAGAACAAATTTAAAATATATTTATTATGTTAAATTTTTGTAAAACAACTTGATATACTTTTAGAACTATATAATATATTTAGGGTTTCCATAAAGGCTTTTGGAAATTCCGGAGAAATGCACGATCCCCATGAAATCCGGACGTAGCAAAAAAGAAAGTATAAATTTATTTATGAACTTTTATAGGACGCAAATAGTAGCCTCGGACTCAACAAAATATAAACCAAAAACACATTCACTTTCCAGAAGTGCACCAAAACCGAAAAATTTGAGCGCCAAAGTATAGCCAAGGTTGTGGCAAGTTGTGGTCAGGTTTCCCGGACGCTTTTCCAAATCCGGACCGGATGACCGCCCCGGATACTTTAAAATTCGGACAAGTCCGGGTAAATCCGGACGTATGGAAACCCTAAATATATTGAACTGCTAAACCAGATAAAACGTAAATTAATTCTAAACCACAGATTATATTCTCAATCTGTGTCTAGACTAAGAAAAAAAAATTCCAGTTTTTCAAACCAAACAAAACATGGTAAATATATTATCTATATAAAATCTAAATAAAAAAGTTGTTCTAAAACGAGAGCGCCTTACAGGGTGAGTCTTAATAACGTGCAAATATGTGCAAATATTTGCAGGGCTGGTAGATCTCGATAAAAGAGACATATTTTCTCCTTACCGTTTTTTACATAAGTATAAAATATAAAATAACTAAAGATACCTATTAAAAACCGGCTGTAAAAAAGTTTTAAATTTTGAGAACCACTCTGGATCTTTTCTGGAGTTGCTTTCTTGTAAATTTAATCAATCTACTACCTCATATATATATATATATATATATATATATATATATATAAAGAGAAAGAGAGCATATATATATGTTGCTATACATGGTTGGTTGTTAAGAGAAAGAAAGAAAGAGCAGAGCAGCATATATATATGCTATCACTATATATATATATATAGCATATATATATATATATATATATATATTTTTTTTAACTAATGAAAACTTTAAATTTTAACTATAATTTTAACTAAAGTTTAAATTTTGAGATGCACTCTGGAGAAAGATCTGAGTTAATTATTCTTTATAAATTTAATCAATCTATTACATATTATATATATATATATATATATATATATATATATATATAATATAGCATATATATATATATATATATATATATATATATATATATAGCATATGATATATCAGTAGCAGTATTATATATATATATATATATATATATATATATATATATATATATATATATATATATATATATATATATATATATATATATATATATATATATATATATATATATATATATATATATATATATATATATATATATATATATATATATATATATATTTTTTAACTAATAAAACTTTAAAGAAATTATGTTTTTAACTAAAAATTAAAAAACTCCCATAAATTTTTGAAAAATTCCAATTTTTAAGATTATTTTTTCGCGAAAAAAAAAACCATAAGTGTTTCTGGGGTCGAAATATACTACCCCTGAAATATCTGCACCTATTTAATTAAGACTCACCGTGTATAACAATGTTAGAATAATAGTCTGCATTGTTTGATATCATATTACGAGTATAAAATTTCTGTAAGCTCGAACTTTTACCGTAATATTATCTCCCAGGTTAAAATAAAGTCTCTCAAAAATTATTAAAATAACCACCCCAAGAAAAAATGTCCTCAAAAAAATTCCCCAAGACCCAAGGATTAAGATACCCCAATTTTGATAGAAAATACTTCAATCTGGCAACCTTGACATTACTCTTAAAATAGAGTGTCTAAAAGAGTGTCAGCATGCTGGCGACCTCTATGCCGTAGTCTATAAACTTCAATGAGTAGAGATCAAAGAAGTAGAGATAATAAATATCGTTAATCCGTTGAATATCCAATAATTGTTATGTTGAGTCCAATATTTTTATTTCAATTTACCAAGTATTGAAACAAATGCAGGTTGTTATTGTAAATATACCTAATCCTTGTTTATATCTTAATCTTTATTATTTGCTATTTACAAAAATTGGTATTCTATAATACTCGACTGTGGTGCTCTCTGTATTCAATAGTCAATAACAAAACGGCGATAGATTCCTACTTTTTAATATCTATGATCCAACTTAAAAAGACTCCATAGATCCAACCCATATACGTATATGATCCAACCAGGATCCAACCTGGATCCAACATCCAACAATCTAACCCCATTTTTGTGTTTTTCTAACAAGTGTGCTAACAAGTTATTTACCAGTGCATCAGCCGTATATATTTTATTATTTTGAGATCTGTTTTTAGTACCGATTTAAATTTGAATTTCCTTAGATATTACACCACCAAAGGAAAATAATATCAAGTGGATAATACAATACAAAAGCTATGAGAATTTCAAATATCTTTTTAAGTAGAATAGGAAAATGGTCAAAGAGGTATTCAAATTTACCAGATCGATACATACAAAGAGCAATGGAACAAGTGTACTGGAGAAACCCTAAAGGCATCCAATATAAACCAAACGCAGTCGTTCAAAAAAAGAAATTTAATTTTGGCGTACAAAGACCTTGGTCTGGTCAATTTAAAAATGAAAATGGGCCCAGGGATGTACCAGCTAAAGTTTTTCTGGAACCTATAAAAGAATGGAGCTTTTTCCGAGGTGATAGAGTCGAAATTTTAGTTGGTAAGTTTCTAATTTTATATTAAACATGTTATAAATAAAAGGATAAGCGCTTAAATATGTTTGATACAATAATTATATTTGAAGGTAAAGACAAAGGAAAGCAGGGGTTTGTTAAACAAATCTTTGAGGAAAGAAACTGGGTTATTGTTGAAGGATTAAATTGTGAATTGAAACAAATTGGACAGAGTAAGCAGAGACAGTTTGATGGTGTATGGATACAGGAGGAACAACCTCTGTTGGTTACTAACGAAATAGCTTTGGTTGATCCATCAGATTTGACTTCTACTTCAATAGAATGGAGGTAATTAATAATCAACTTTGGAGATTATTGTTTCTATCTAAACTAGTTAATTAAAATTTAAAGAGGAAACATTTGGTAAAGAAGATATATTCTGATTTTATGGATAATTTAATACTTATAGGTTTACAGAGGAAGGTGAGCGAGTCCGGGTATCAACAAGAACTGGCAGAATAATTCCTATGCCAGCTAGTAATGATGAAACTGTTGATTATAAATCAAAAGCTGTATATAAGGAGCAACCCAAAGACACAACCTCAGATGCTGTTACTGAAGTCACATATGAACCCAAATTGTGTACATTTGAAATGGATATAATGGATAAAATGGGCATTAAAGAAGACAGAATACCCCTTAAGACATATTGGTATTAGATGTTAATTATAAATATAGTAACTTATTTTTATATTTTTTTTGTTTAGTTTATTATTAAATGGTATCTATTTGTGATACCAAATGTGATGATTTATTTAAAAATTAAGTTACCTTATTACATCACTATTATTATTTTCATCTAAGCATCCTTAGGAGCATCTCAAACATAAAATATACAGTTTATATTATTTATACCATATAGGGTGGCGCCCCTCATACACCGCGGAAGCTCCAAGGAGAATGGTAGGTTAACTGAAAGCATTTTATAAAAATATATAGAATTATACAGGGTGTCTCCTAACCTAACCAAAAAAAGTTACACATTAAAGTTGTGTTTTTTCTAATAGAACACCCTCTATATTAATTGATTTTCTGATTCTGGGAAAAAAATAAAGGTGAGTTTCATTAAAGAAGCATATACCTAAAATCTAAGGATCTTGACATTTCACATTTTGTGAAAACGAAGAGTAAATTTTAAATTTCGGTAACAGCTACCTAAATTTTAGTTGACCTTGAAATTGATGACTTAACTTGTATAGCCTGATATTTAATTACAGTAACCATTGTATGTTTAACCAAATTGAAATTTGACCCGAAAAGTTATACAGGGTGAAGCAAAATTAATATGGAACATTAGTCACTTTTAAAAGCTAGTTACTCCATTATTTTAAATGGAACACCCAGTGTACTATTCCCGTGTTCAACGAGGAATTTATATATCTTCATAATATTATTAAGGTTGCCTACCCCTCAAAGATTTTTCTAGATATTTTCAGTAGATCTTTATTATTTAAAAAATCTAGGTGGCTGTGATATACCTTTTGTTAATTTAACAACAATTAAAGAATGTAGAGTAAAATACTCAACGGTAATAAAAAGATACACGTTTAAAACATATTTTAATTATTGCAGAATTAAAACTAGATAAACCTATAACTATGTGATAAAAATTAGCTAGATGAAATCAAATGCTCAAAATGCGTTCTTTCCGTTAACTGCATAAAATGATTGTATTCTACCTCGAAAAGACCATACATTACTTTCCCGTTTGCACCCGCCAATCAAATCGTTTCAGCACAACTGGGGCGGAGCAAATTTCCCGCGTTATTTGAAAATGAGGAGATTATTTATACCATAGCTTTATACACTTTTGCGCAATTTAGAAAATAGATTCTGAAATTTAAAATGTATTTATTTTAATATTAATTAAAAAAATGGACAAATTTCCCATGAAAATACGTTTGACGTAGAACTGTTGTTTTTCAAAAGATAACTATATATTTTATTTCATTAAAATACAGAAAAATGGGAGGGTGCAATTTAAAAAAGCTATACCTAGAGGTAATCATTATTTTATTCGTTTACATATAATTAATATGTTGGTTTATGTATAGATCAGGAGTGTGTTCGATTTACTTTTAGATATACCTATAGGAGATACTATATACAGCGATTTTTCAAATAATTTGTGTCAATATTTGAGTTGCCTTTTTTTGATTCTGCAGTATCTTTATAATTCCCTTGGATGAATAGAAAAACGAACAACATTGAAGGAACACCGATAGAAATACAAAAAAGAAAACCACTAAAAATACAATTATTACAGGATGAATCCACACGACATCTATACCAAACAAGACTTGACCAGAAACTCATAGAATTTAGATACGATGATAACATGGAAGACACATACCAGCACATCAAAGAAAGTATGCTACAGGCAGGGATGGAAGCCCTCGGAGAAGTAGAAGGAAAACAACGACCTTTCGAATACAATCTTAGTGAAACGACGATTAACGAAATTAAATGTAAAAAACAACTGTACAATAAATGGCTGAGTACCAGGAATGAAGATGACTACAAAAAATATAGAGAAAAAAACAGAGACGTTAAAGGGATGGTAAACAGAGAGAAAAACGAAAATTGGGAAAAAACCTGCCAGAACTTGGACCAATATATCGGTGGAGCTAGAAGATCAGAAGCATGGAGAGTGATTAAGGAATTGAGATCCGATAGGAAAGAAAGATCATACATATCATACATTGAACCTGAGAAGTGGAAAGATCACTACAAAGATTTACTCACGGAAACAAGACAAAAGTTTATAGAGGAAAGACAAGAAGAAGAGGGACAACCTAGAGCACAACATATACCTATAACAATAGAAGATATACGAAAGGCAATTAAAACAATAAAAAACAAAAAAGCAGGAGGACCAGGGGACATCGCACCAGAGCTCATAAAATGCGGCACAGAAAAATTATTCAGAATCATACATGGAATGTTTGGGAAAGCAATAAATGGACATAACATACCAGACGAATGGAAGGAAGCACAGCTAACATCGATTTTCAAAAAAGGAGATAGAAGACAGTGCGATAACTATCGAGGGATCAGTGTCATAGCAACCATGGGGAGGCTATATGGTAGAGTACTGAGAGACAAATTAGAACAGAACATACAAGGAAAAATCGGAGAAGAACAAGCAGGTTTTACAGCAGGGAGATCATGCATAGATCATATTTACACGATCCAACAATTATTGGAGAAAAAAAAAGCAAAGAACAAACCAGTACACTTAGCATTCATCGATTTAAAGAAGGCCTATGACACTGTACCCAGGAAAGAACTATGGAAAGCGATGGAAAGACTGGACATACCGATAACACTCACAAATGCAATGAAGACTTTATATAGGAACAACAAAATACACATAAAAGTAGGGAACAAGATAGTAAACAGCTTAACAACATCGAAGGGGCTGCTCCAGGGATGTCCAACATCGCCAACATTATTTAAAATATTTCTGGAACATGCACTGACAACCTGGAAACGCAAATGTGAAGGTATGGGAATCCCTCTAAGAAATGAACATCTTTACACGCTCTGCTTTGCAGATGACCAGGTGGTGATGGCCCAGGATGAGGAAGATCTAAGTTATATGCTCAGGAAGCTAAATGAAGAGTATGAAAAAGTAGGACTAGAAATAAACCTGAAGAAAACCATGTACATGACAACAGAGGAAGATACAGCTGATTTACAAATAGAAGACCACCTGGAAATAAAGGGAACCAATAACTTTAAATACCTGGGATTTACACTATCGAAAAACGCAACTACGGAAGAAGATATAAATGTCAGACTTGGACAGACAAGATCCTGTATACAACAACTGCACTCCGTTATCTGGGATAGAAATATCAGGAAAAAGACTAAAACATTGATATATGAAACAATTATTCAGAGTATCATGACATATGCAGCAGAAGTATGGGTCATAAACAAAAACAACCAAAGAAAAATTCTGGCCACCGAAATGATGTATTGGAGAAGATGCTGTGGACTAACCAGAAGAGACCGAGTCACGAATGAGGAAATAAGAAGAAGAATGGGGAGAAAGACCGACGTCTTAAAGTACATAGAAACGAAAAGATTGGTATGGTACGGTCATGTTAGAAGGGCGGAAAATAGATGGATTAACAGAGTGACAGAGTGGAGCCCGATTGGAAGAAGAAAGCGAGGGCGGCCAAGAAGATCATGGCGAGATGAAGTGGACGAGTCTATGCATCGGAGAGGACTACGAGAGGGAACATGGGATGATCGAGACGAATGGAGGACCCGGTTGATGGAAGGAAGGCAGCCAGAGCTGTAGAATCCTTTATATATATATATATTATATATATATATATATATATATATATATATATATATATATATATATATATATATATATATATATATATATATATATATATATATATATATATATATATATATATATATATATATATATATATCTTTATAATTTTAAAACAAATTCCTGTAAATTTTAAGATCTATATTAGAAGTTTTTTATTTCTAAATTTTAAAGTAGGCAGCAGAACCTAGATTAATAATAATACCGAACAGACTGTATTTACCTACATTTATAGCAAAAATTTTGTAATGTTTCATTTTGGTTAAAGAACTTTACATTATTTATTTTGTGGTCCATAATGTATTAACAAAAATGTTAATATACATAAATAGGCTTAGCATGAATGAGGGTGAAAACACAAGATTAGAATTTGTTAATAAAATTTATTTCTGTTAGTAATAAAGGCATGAATACAAACTACAGTGATATTTATACAACTAAATTATTTCAAACATATATTTATAAACCAAACCTTGTCAGCCCAAAATATAATAAGTACAGAGATATAACAAATAATATTTTAAAGAGTATAATAATAGTTACTCGTAATAGTGAAAAATAATACATATATTTTCTTCTCTGAATAATATGTTTGCTTCTGATTGTTCCTCTCTATGCAGCGTTTACACTGATTAATGTTATTTTTAAATTTACTATATTCTGAGCCATGAACCTCTCAAAACATTTTTTTAATAATAATAACCACAACCATTTACTAATAATTATATAACATAATTATATAAAACTTATTAAAAATGGTGAAGGTGAAACACAAAACATATATTTTCTCCCCTGGATAATGTTTGCCTCTGAATGTTCCTCTTTTTGCTGTGTCTACACTGATTAATGTTATTTTTAAATATACTATATTCTGAGCCATGAACCTTTCAAAACAACTTTTTAATAATAATAACCACAACTATTTACTAATAATTATATAACCACTACCCATTCTAAAAATAAAAACTTAATATATACATAAAAACAAAATTATATTAAACTTATTAAAAATGGTGAAGGTGAAACACAAAACATAAATTTTCTCCCCTGGATTTTCCTCTTTTTGCTGTGTCTACACTGATTAATGTTATTTTTAAATTTACTATATTACAACCTAACGTAACAACCATTTACTAATAATTATATAACCATCACCCCCATAATATTTCGGGTCATTGTCGCTCATAATATATTCTGCATCAATTGGTTTACCTAAGTTTGTTAAAAGAGCCCTAAAAAAACTTCTTGAATTATCTGATCCAACCTGTTGGGAAGCAAAAACGCCACTGGAAATCCTAAATTATTTTCATCCTTAATTCAAATAACAGTTAAATTAAAATTTTTCCTGTTTGTTCCATGGGTGCCGTCAATACATATGATGCGACTAAAATCCAGCAGCTTTTTTTCCATAACAGCATTCATATACCCCACTGCAAAATCTTCATCTTTTAAACCTGGATAATTTTCACCTGAAATTAAATAAACATCTTATAATAATATAACCTTCTTTTAAAACTTTTAATTAACACTAATCAACATTTGATATAATTACCAATTTTCTTAAATAAAAATACATGGTTATTTCCTTGTTTATTCCATTTTTCAATTTTTAGGGCTGTAGCTGTCATATCATCATTATCTCTCTTCTTATCAATGTTGTACTTGCGAATCAAATATGCCAAATCTCCTCTTGTTACTAAATTTATCCTCTCAACTTTATTATTTTGAATGTTTTTTTCTCGCATCTTGAATTATTCTGTCATTTGATACCCCTGCTGATAATTGTCCCACAATAATACTTTGTTCCACCTTCGACAATTGCTTTGTTCTCAACTCATCTGTATGGCCCACATGTTTCGAAAAATTTGGCTTGAATTTGACCTGTATTTTTTAATCATTAGGTAGGTATTAGACACAAAAAATATCATGATTACCATCTGTAGTTATTTTTACTAAAATTCGTGAAGGGCAGGTCCCATTTATACGAATACTACCTCCAGTTTTCATATTACGTTTGCTGCATTGAACTAACAAATCCTAAGAATGAATTTTATTAAGAATGAAATATTTGTATAACATAAATAAGTCTACAACCTTTAGAATTGCTTCTGTTACAGTTATATAATAGTCTCTTCTCCACTCATCATGACGAGCATAGTTTACTTCTTTATTATCCAGCGACATCCAAGTTGTAAACTCTTCAAGATTTCTAAAATAAAAAACAGATTGTTGAATATTCATATTATGTATGGTACTTAATTAAACAATTATGGAAAAAATACAATAAATGTACTAATCCTAACCCTAACTGCACAAATAACATACCTTGCCGAATCCATATTTAATTACACCTATAATATGATAAAATAAAGATGAAAAGCACCAAAATCACAACAAATTAGTTATTAAAAAGATATTAAACCACACTAATATCCTTGAATATGTATAATAATATATAAAAACAAGACTAATATCTTTGCATGAAACACAAATTGGCGGGAAAATAGTAGTGACCGTATATAAAATCGTTCAAACACCCAGAAAGGCTAGCAAACGATTAAATATGGATTAGATTAAATATTAAATCACAGAGTATTAAATTAAACGAATTAACCAACTTGAACTGTAAAATTTCCCAGTCAGCTGATCGAAAACGGCGCGGACCTGCGCGGACCTTCAGTTAGTTATTCTATGGCGCGGACCATGCGCGGACCTTTTCAAATACGATGTTACACGAAGGCTCCTTTCGGTCGAAATCGGGCACTGGGAATTAAACGGATTTTGATTGGCGGGTGCAAACGGGAAAGTAATGTATGGTCTCGAAAAGCAGCTACAATAATTTCTCTCATGTTGTCGACAATAGTTGGTCGAATTTTGTAAACACTATCTTTAAGATATCCCCATAAAAAATCCAGACTAGATAAAATCAGGCGCATTTAAGTATTCTATTAATTGGTGAATGCACACTGCATTCACATGAATTCTTCATTGAATATCTGAATAATATACTGGGTGTTCCATTTAAAATAAACAAGTAACATGCTTTTAAAGGTCACTAATGTTCAATATTAATTTTCTCTCACCCTGTATAACTTTTTGGATCAAGTTTTAATTTGATTTAAAGTACAATAGTTAATTTAATTACATATTAGGCTATACCGGGTAAATTCTAATTTAGGGAGCTTTTGTTGTAATTTAAAAATTGTTCCTTATTTTTAGAAAATGTTAAATATGTCAAAAACCTTAGATTTTAGCCATATAAAACTCACCTTTATTTTTTTCCCAGAATCCGGAAATCAATTATTATACCGGGTGCGTCTCAAAAGCGGCTCACCCCCTATAACTTTTTTATTTTTTCAGATATAACAACGAGTTTTGGTGTGTTAGTATATGACATAAATTAGGATTGATTGATATATTCAATTGTTTTTGGTCACACCGGAAATGACTACAACTTTTGGTTTTTAAATGGCACCCTAGGTATTTTTTATTTTATTTGATAGAAAAGGACCTTGAATAGAATGACATATCATATGTCTTTTGTACTTTTGACATTTTTGCATATGGTTTATTTGAAATTGTGTGGTTCATAACGACAATTTGACTCGAAATACCAAGTGTGTGGTATCAAATTATTCCTAAAAAAAATGCCTTTTTCAAATATGCTAATGAGTCATCCTCGTTCTATTTGACAAAATTGGGATATGATTAAAAATACGATTTGGTCATCTTTTAACCGGCCAGGACAAGACACTAAAAACATTAGACAATCAAATCTATTTTTCCAAGGCTTCTGGCTTAAAAATTAGTGTTTTTAACACTGCCATGGCACTTTAGGTTAAAATTTAAAATACAATTTGTTTTTGAGCGAATATGTCAAAAGTTGACATATGATATGTCAATCGATTCAGAGTGTCATTTTCTATCGAATAAAGTAAAAAAATACCGAGGCTGTCATTTAAAAATCAAAAGTTGTAGTCATTTCCGGTGATACAGGAAGTGACTGAAAACAATTGAATGCTTCAATCAATCCTAATTTATGTCATGTACTAACATACCAAATGGTTTTTTTATCTGAAAAAATAAAAAAGTTATAGGGGTGAGCCACTTTTGAGACGCAGCCGGTATAGGGTGTTCTATTACAAAAAACACAACTTTCATATGAAACTTTTTTTGGGGACACCCTGTAGAATTCTCTATATTTTTAAAAAGTGCTCTGAATTAACCTACATATGCTCACAAAATTTCATTTCAATACAAACCGTCGCTCTCCTTGGAGCCTCCGCGGCGCGGCGTATGAGAGGTGCCATCCTGTATGGTTGAAAAAGAAACAGCAATATTGGAATGGAAATGAAGATCCATGAGATTCCCCATATAATTTTATACAGGGTGTCCCAATATTCCGTAGATACTGGGTATAGAACTACTACGTATTTTTGGAATCAAAATAAGTTCATTGGAATTTACCTCTATACAAAAGTGCTTAGTTTGTCCGCTAGAGGGCATCAAACTTTAAAAAAGTAAACACATTTTTGCATTTTCTGCTGGTTGGGGTAGTTTTTACCCTTTCCGTATTTTTTCTTGATTTTTGTGAACGCCTAATGTTAAAGCACTTAGCAAAACATAGACACCCAAAACCTCATTCAAATCGGAATAACGGTTCTTAAAATATTTGACAAAATGTGTTTATTTTTTTAAAGTTTGATGCTCTTTATCGGATAAACCAATCACTTTTGTATAGAGGTAAATTGTGTACAATGAACTTATTTTGATTCCAAAAATAGCATTAGTAGTGCTATGTCTACGGAATATTGGGACACCCTGTATATTAAATGACAGCGATATTTATTTTTAAGCTAACTGATGTTTTTTTTGATCGTATTATATTTTTTACAAGAGATATAGAGGTAGGAATGAGCTTTGATTAGAGGTCAATAAGTAAAAATATTAACTGATAAGTTATTTGAGTTTAATTTCGTCTTTGGTCCTATTGTTATTACCCCAGTCAAAATAGACATTTCAATTAACAATAATTCGCATAGAGCTGAAAATTGGTACAGGTCTTAAATACACTATTATAAATGATATCTGAAAAATCCCCACCCCTCCCACGTCTGCTAAAAAAATTGTTCAAGGTCAAAAATCAAAAATATGTTTTTTTTGCTTTTTTCTTCCAAACGGTAAGCGCTATCGAAAAGTACCTTAAACAAATGTTGTAGACCATTAAATTTTCAACAATAATGGTTACTTTTTTCTTACGAACCACCATTCCTGAGATATGGCGGTTTTAAAAGTTGGAAAACTTGTATTTTTCATAATATGCACACATTTCCGCACCACCTGTGAGGTAGTGTACTTGGCGGGTTTTTTTAACGTCGTTTCCCCTGTAGGCCTAGTCCACGATCCATTGTGGTTAAGTTTTTACACATTATATTATTAATTTAAAGAAACGGTGCTCTTGGTAATGATTATAGCCGAACGAATTATTGTTGATTTTGAGAGAATTTTAATTTGAGTGGTAATCTTCAAATGATACTTCAACAGTAATGTCTTCTTCGCTTTTTTCTTTCTCATCTTCTTGCGGAATATCTGGAAATCCATCTATAACAGATGCATCAGTTGTCTCCTCATCAAAATCCTCATCTGTATTTAAGTCAATATTGGAGCAAGACTGACCTTGACAATTAGTACATATTGGTGTACAAAACAATCCGACTCTTTTACAACCACAATTTGCGCTACAACCCTTTTTGCAATTGCAAAAAATTGTGTTGTGTAGTAGTTTTTCTGGAGCAGGTGGAAGTAAAGTTTTAATCAGCTCCAAAGTATTATCTATAAATTTCCAACCCCAGTTTTCTGGGTTCAGTTGATTGCCTAGCCACAATTGAACTTGATAGTATACACGATTTTAGTGTTGACAGGCAGATGCAGATGTTGGAGGAAGACAAGAAAGTTGTATCATTTTATTATTATAAGTATTATTTGAAGATTACCACTCAGATTAAAATTCTCCCAAAATCAACAATAATCCGTTCGACTATAATCATTACCAAGAGCACTGTTTTTTAAAATTAATAGTATAATGTGTAATAAAACTTAACCACAATAGATCGTGGACTACGCCTACAGGGGAAACACGTTAAAAAAATGCGGCAAGTACACTACCTCACAGGTGGTGCGGAATTAATAATAAATTAGAATTAAATTAAACTGAATGTGTACATATTATGAAAAATACGTGTTTTTCAACTTTTGAAATCGTCATATGTCAGGAATGGTGGTTCGTAAGAAAAAAGTATAAGAACCATTATTGTAGAAAATTTAATGGTCTACAACATTTGTTTAAGGTACTTTTGCGACAGCGCTTACCGTTTAGGAGAAAAAAACAAAAAACATATTTAACCTTTAACCTTAAATAATTTCTTTAGCAGACGTGGCAGCGGTGGGGACTTTTCAGATATCATTTATAATAGTGTATTTAAGACCTGTACCAATTTTCAACTCTATGCGAATTATTGTGATTTAACCCCATTTTTTTTGGTTTATTTTGACTGGGGTATATTCCGATTTCTAGGATTTTCAAGATTAGTTTGGATGTGTTCAAATATTTTGTGTTTTTATTTTGAACTTATAGATTGATATAAACGGCTTTTGCATTCTTCTGATTTCTGTTATTTATATTTTATACATAATAAGTTGTTCACTGCACAGTTCATGCTCATTCTCCCTACCTCTATGTCTCTGATTTTTAATTAAAAACTTGGCCAAATTAAATCTGTTTATTCTGCTACTGATTGATTAGTATAAGAGAAAATACTAAATGTTTAGGAGATATATTACAGAATATTACAAAATTTGGTTTAGCCTAACATACTATTCAACTAAAAATAAATAATTTATATGTCTTTATACAAAAATTGCACATTAAATATTTGGTACCAATATCGAAATTTACTTAATCTAAGTCTATAAAATCCTAATTTAGCTTAATATACTTTAAATACATATTATTCTACATATCCGCTTACAACTTGAAATTCTAAATCAGCAGAAATTTTGATATACAATATACCTTATGATCGAAAAAAAATGGCGTCCAGTTGGCTTTGATATGATGATCGATGACATTCTCCATATAATTTTATATGTAAAATGACAGCGATCTTCATTTCACAGCCATCGCTGACGCCGTTTTTTTTTAGATCATACGGTACATTTAAATAAAATATCAGATTGAGTATTGTTTAAAAGTAACATTTGAGTCAATAACGAGGTCATAGTAGGCATAGTAGAAATAGCAATTCGGTTTGAACTGTACTGTATTTCTGATTGAAGTTCTTGACGGCGAAGTGACAGCTGATTTTGAGTTATTTGAAGTCCTTGTTAAGCATTAAAACTACAGTTTGAAAAATATAATATAATTTTTATAATATAGTTCTAATTCTTAACCAGGATTTGTTGCAGTTGTCAGTGTCAAGAACTACAGCGAGAAAAATATTTACTATAACTCGAACGCTCGAACTAAAATGTTATGTCTACGCCCTTCTGTGAAGATTATGTTTCATCATATGGTATTTGCCACAGCAGCTTAATTTACATATTATACTCTTGTACTCCCAATGTCATTATGTCAATGTTTTATGTGGTTTGTTATCATTTAACCTTTTAAGCAAGTAATGCATATAAAATATACCATTTTACTTTTTCCGATATATTACTGAGCCCTCACCGTTCTTTTGATTTATCTTTCAAATTGGGGAAGAAAGCTTCAATGGGCAATATTGGATCATCTGTCGATAGTGTGAAATGGTTTGGGATACTCCTACTTGTCGATCCTACACTGTTAAACGCACCAGGTTTATCGTAATCTTTAAACGACGAAGTGAGATCGGAAACTCTTTGAGACTGTATCATATCGTCCACTTTAAGATCTTCTGTCGTCGAAGCTTCAGTAGCTTCGGTAGAAGTCTCTTCACTTGTCACCTGATAAAAGGTAAACTCGGTTGAACCGGTAGATACTTCACTAGGTCCCGATTCAGCACCCTTCTGGACTTCCCCTTCATCATCTTGGTCAGAATTATTTTGGGGATGTTCTTCCTCATCATCTTTCACTTCGTTTTTCTTCACTTTAGTATCGAGTCGATTTTTCAAGCTAGGGTATCCGCTTCTTCGTCTAGATGAGAAAAGATTGGGTCGAATGGATACTTTAGTTCCGGCAGTGGTTGCTTCTGTCGTGGATTTTATCCTACCAAACGGTCGTAGTCTTGTGTTAACTGATTTAACACTGTTTTCGGTTATAACGTTGTCAGCTTCGGTGGTGAGGTGAAATCTGGGCTGGTTTGGTTTAAATCGTTGTCTAGGAGTATTAGTAGTAGTTAAAGTATCTTCGGTAGAGTCTTCATCTATTCTACTTATAGCAGTAGTGGCACTTGGTCCTGGTCGGGTTCTTCGATTAGGAAATCTTAATCTTAAGTTATCAGTGGTACTGCTTTTATGACGACTTTCTGTTGTACTAGACGGAGTTGTTGATGTGTGCTGATTGAATTTCTCTCTGAATTCTTTAACGCTGAATCTTGGTCTATTCGATGCGTCAAATTTATTTGGTCTAACTCGAATCCGGTGTGTTTTAGAAGTAGTTGTTTCAGTGGTTGTTGTAGTTGTCTGTGGTGTAGTAGTAATTGCAGTAGTTTCCTCTCTTGGTTCCTCTTGTTCGACAGAGGTTTGTGTTGTATAGTCAACTTCATTTTCCGGAGCGGGTGGTATGGGATTGCTTTCATGATTATGAGATGACGTTATAGACACTCTAGGCTTGTTATTCGTTACAGGATGAATTTCTTCTATAAACGGACTGTTGTGAACTTCGGTCTGAGTATTTGTATCGTCATTTGTCGTTTCCTGCGAACGAGATGGCTCATATGAATTTGCCGTGTTAACGGTAGGATAATTTTCGTATGAATTTTGTTGGTGTTCTATAGATGATTCGCTTGATTCGTCTTGAGATGGTTTTATTTGTTCTCTAATGATGTTTTCCGAAAACGAAGGTCTAAAGCGTTTTCTCTGAGAAGTGCTAGTATTGCTGTCATCGTTGGATGGACGTTCTCTAGTTCTGAATCGATATTTTCCTACAAAAAAAGATATTTTAAATGGTCTATTTTATTCTTAAGAGTTCATGCATTGCACGGACCCATATATTTCAAAGTTTGATTATTACAAAATTAGTAATACCTCTTTGTGGACTGGAACTTTGTTCTTCAGGCTTGTTTTGAACCTGCTCCTCATTTTCAGATTTTTGTCTGTAATTTGGTGGTCTTGGTCTTCTTCTTCTGGGCTTTTCTGTTTCTTTTGGTATTTCTTCAACGGCTTCTTTAAGAGGTTCGTAAACATCTACCACGGTTTCTTCGGTAGTTGTGGTTGTTGGTCTTCGTGGCCTAGGCCGTCTGTTGGATATTCTTGTTTTAGTTGGATCTCTTGATACGGTAGCTCGGGTAGAATCTTTAATAGGTCTTCTTGTGTGGAGGAGTTCTAATTCTTTTTGTGTTGTTATTTCATTAGAAATTTCTCCATTCTCGTTTATCGGTAAAGGTGTTTCGGTGTTGCCTTTAAAATATTAAAATATTAATATTTTTAAGTAGTGCCTAATACTTTTGTAAAGGTTGTACCGTATGATCGAGAAAAAACGGCGTCAGCGATGGCTATGGAATGAAGATCGCTGTCATTTTATATGTAAATTTATATGGAAAATGTCATCGATGTTCATTTCCCAGCCAACTGGACGCCGTTTTTTTTCGATCATACGATATTTAGTATGGTTGGACGAAATATTTTATTAAATATTTTAGTAGGTATTCCTTTTAAGGGAAATATAATCAGAATATTGAATTGGGGGGGTATATTTTTTAGTAGAAGATCTTTAAATTTACCTTCTGAGGGAACATCCGGAATACCCACTACTGGATAATGAGTGCTAACTTCCTTAATGTCGAACAATAATGGATTGTTATTTAAGGCTCCATTTCTATATCTATTCATTTTATCTGTAACTTTATTAAAAACTGTAGAGGCTTCACTATGGGTTGGTGATGTTGGTGCTATATTATCCGGTCTGTGAGGTGTAGGTAGGAAAGGTGGAACGCTAATGTCCACCAATGGCGATGGAAATACTGGAGGTCTAGTTGGTGGAGGTTCAGCTTGGAATAGGAGTCCAGGTCTGGCGTTGATTTGTTGTGAGACTTTTGGCCGTTGTATAAAAGTGTTTATAGGTCTGAATTGGTATTGCTGAGATGAAGTATCGAGCCATTTTCCTTCAGTAACCTAAAAAGCTCAGAATAAAATTGTGGAAGACTTGATTTTTGTTACTATTATTTTCTTTTTTAACGATATTAATATAATTCTGTACCTACAAGCAGTTATAAACAAACTTTATCAATGTTAAATAAAAGAATAGAAAAAAAGCTCTTCTTACCTCATAGGTTAAAGTACTGGGTAAATTGGTGGGCTTGGACTTGACAGAATGAAAATCATAATCCACAAATTGAATGGGAAAATTATTCCTTCCAGGAATTAGGCCAAATGAACTAGGCCCGTTTTGAGTAAATTGTTTAAGATTCTCTTTGGTAACTTGAACATCCGCAGCTTGCCCTTTCTGTTTCTGACTTTGTCTTTGGGGTTGTTGCTGTTGTTGTTGTTGATTGGTGTAGTCAAATATTGGAGCTACCTACATATATACATGCATTTTATAAAACAAAATGTAATTTGTTATGTATTTTAGGTACAACTGGAAGCGATATTTTGAGTTAAAATAGTATATTAGAAAACTAAGCTTCTTAACTAAGGTATTTGATAGTATATATATATATATATATATATATATATATATATATATATATATATATATATATATATATATATATATATATATATATATATATATATATATAGTATAATAATAAAAATAATAACAAGTAGATAAGAAGGGCAAAGCTGTCTGACTTTAGATCTTTTTGCGAAAACATCACTTTTACTCCTGATGCAGCTAGACTTCACAAAGCTATGGCCAAGAGTGGATCTATCCCCAATATGGCACTTAAGAAATCTGACGGAAGCTACACGGAAGGAGAGGAAGAGAGAGCTAATCCTAATCTCCTACTTTATACACACTTTCCAGGTAGCATACCTATTGATACTCATGTAGCTTCCACTGAACCCCACAATCTTTGCAGGGAAGATTGGGAAGGGGCCAAGCTAGTAATAACAGAACAAAAACTGAAATTGGCGATCGACACCTTTCAGCCCTATAAAGCAGCAGGAGTGGATGGGATCTTTTCTGCCCTTCTAAAGGAAGGTCAGCAAATAGCTACTCACCATATACTAAGCATTACAAGAAGCAGTCTAGCGATGGCATGTATACCAACCACATGGAGAAGAGCAAAAGTAATCTTCATACCCAAAATAGGCAAAACTGACTGGACAAATCCCTAGTCCTAGGCCTATTAGTCTAACATCGTTCATACTAAAAACGCTGAAGAAAGTAGTTGACAACCATATTGGAGAAAATCATATAAAGGTTAAACCACTGCATGATAGTCAGCATGCATATAGAACGGGCAGATCCACAGAAACTGCTCTGTACCAATTAACGGAGCTAATATAGACAAGTCTGGATAGCAAAGAAACAGCAATTTGTGCCTTCTTGGATATTGAGGGGGCGTTTGACAATATACCACATAAGGTGGTCAGGCGATCTCTAGAAACAAGAGGGGTGAACAGAACTATTATTCGCTGGTTTTGGGAGATGCTGTCAACACGAGAGGCTCAGATGGGTACCAAAACTGTAGCTGTTAAAACAACGCAAGGAACTCCACAAGGTGGAGTAACCTCCCCTTTGCTGTGGAGCTTGGTAGTGGATGAACTACTAGACGAATTAACTCTAGCGGGAATACACTGCATTGGGTATGCAGATGACATAGTCATGATCGCTCGGGGGAAACATGAAGGCACCCTGTGTGATATTATCCAAAGACGACTCCGTATCACTGAGAGATGGTGCAGGACTGTCGGGCTGTGTATCAACTCAGACAAAACCGCGATAGTGCCATTTACCAGAAAGTGAAGTCTGAAAAACTTGAAAAGAATCCAACTAGATGGAAAGGAAATACTGCCATCACAGGAAGTTAAATATCTGGGTATAACCCTGGATAGTAAACTCATTTGGAACAGGCATATTAAGAACACTACCAGCAAAGCCACAAAGGCTCTCATGATATGCAGAAGACTGGCCAGAAATAGATGCGTAGGCTGCTCCCCTAACATTTTGCGCTGGATGTATACCATGATAGTAAGACCCATGATTACCTATACTATTAATTAGTACTGGGAGAATTGTCAGATCAGGGGCTTGGAACACCCTCAAAAAGGAAATACCACTCCTGCAACTCCCAGTGGACGATATGCCAAGAACGTACAACTTTGAGAAACATCTCAATGTAGTATTGAGCAATAAAAAGGATTGGAAGAGAGAAAGGTCTGCCCAGCAGTAAAAGACCATACCATAAGTTGGTATACTGATGCTTCCAAAACCAATACGGGAACAGAGATCGGAGTATTTGGGTCGAGAACTAAATACTCCGAACCAATGGGCACTTACCCTAGCATCCTACAGGCAGAAATCTACGCTATCGAAAGATGCGTACAACTTATCTTAGATAGGAACTATCGGAAACAAGAAATAGCCATCTTATCTGATAGTCGAGCAGCGTTAAAGGCGATCAACTCAGTATCAATCAATTCGAAATTGGTCAAAGAATGCATAGAGAAGCTGAATAAATTAGGCAAAGAAAACAAAGTCCTCCTACTCTGGGTGCCTGCTCACCAAAGGATTGAAGGCAATGAAAAAGCAAATGATCTAGCTAGAAAAGGAGCGAACACTCCACTAACTGGACCAGAACCGTTCTGCTTTCCAAGTGGTAACCAACTCAAGGCGGAACTCAAGAACTTGGAAGATTCCATCCGCTTGGAAGATTCCATCCCATCTTGCAACGGTCTAAGACACTCGAAGAAGTTTCTGAGGGCTTACGATCAAGAAAAATCACAGATCTTCCTGGATTTAAGTAAGAACAATCTTCGGATTGTCACGGGGTTCTTAACAGGACACTGTCTCCTCAATGAACACCTCAGTAGATTGAAACTAAGAAGAAACGGCGAATGCAGATTCTGTGGGGAAAATGGGGAAACACCAGTACACCTCATCACTGAGTGCGCCGAGACTACAACCATTCGTGCCATGAACTTTGGTACGACTGATATTGGAGATGGAGAACTACCCTCAATAAAACCGTCCCAGATACTGGCTTTTGTCAAAGCCCTGGGACTGTACGATGAGTTATAACTCAAGAAAGGGGGACACAGTAGATCTGTAAGGTCGCAGTGATTAACCCCCCTCCCACTCATTCTAAATTCTAAAAAAATTCTAAAGGTATTTTTTACTGTTAAAACTGAACCAACATCAACATTTCATTGTACTTGATCTGATTATCGAATGTAATACCACAAGATGTTTCGGGATTACTGAATTATACTTTTACCTGACACGAAATGCTCCTCCTTCGGAGTCGAAGTGTTGCCGGTATCGCATTGAGTGTCAGGCAAAAGTATTAGGTAATCCCGAAACATTGAGTTGTATTCAAAAGATTATACAACAAAATAAAGTACATATATCCTTATCTTTCTTTTGCCATTTTGTAATAAGAATTGACAGGATATTTTGTGGAACTGATAGAAATGACTTCTGAATTAATATTTCAAAAAATGACAATTACAATATGGCTACCAAGCGATAATCACTTAAATGATTATCACTTATTAATCACATCCTTCTATATGGGAAAAATATACATAGAGTTGTATAATCATTTTACAAACTTCTATTATTAGAAAGATATAAGAATCAATAAGTTAGTATTACCTGAGGTGTATATTGATTTGCTTTAACTCCAAATTGTGGAAAATTAGAACTTGCGTCTGTTATAGGACCTCCTTCCTTAAAAGCATATACTGAATACTGTGTATTAGCTTTTGTACTTTGCTGAGATCTTGGTGGTGGTGCTAAGTTCCTGGTGAATTCGTCGTTCTGAACGGGTTTGGTGAAGAGAAATGCGGGTCTTTGAAAAAATGTACCGCCAGGCAATGGGTACTGATTAGCAAATTCGATAGGTGCATTAGGCTGATTTAGACTAAACTGATTTCCACCTAGTAGACCAATTCCTTGGACCTCTCTGGTGTTGAGGTTACTTGTTGGTATTGGTTTACCAAACGAATACACTCCTACAACAATATAGTATAAAATTAATATACCCACACTAGCATGAGTATTAATACTTCTAGGATAACCCAGTTATCTACGAAGCTATTATACCTTGATTTTGACTAGGAGGTCGAATAAACACTTCGTTTCTCGTACTGTGAGCCATTGCTTGTCCTCTTACCGGTTTTCTGGGCTTGGACTGTAATAGAGATACCTTTTTTACTCCTGGTTTTTTAATTTGTTGGTTCTGAGAGGATGGGTACTGAGGTCCAGTTGGTCCAGTTACGTAAGAGCCAGTAGTTTTAGAAATAGGTTTAATTTTATTACCTGAAATACATTCATGCATGTCTTTATTTAGATACTCTGATGCGAAATGCCCACCATTTAGGTTTTCAAAACCCCGTTGATTTACCTTTAGAGCCTTTGCTATAAGCTACATTTTTAACTGGCGCCTTTTGGATCTTAGTAACTGGAAGAGTTGTGGCTTCGATGTCAATGAGCTCGGATTGCACAACTGGATAGTGAGACACTGGATGATCCCCGTTGATCGATTGTCGTCTTGTACCGACGATTGGTCGCCAACCATCTGAAGACATCGAAATTGGATCCTACGAAAATCCAAACGTTTTATTAGAAAATTAACTTAATCTTTAGAAATAAATAGATTCTTGTGTTTGTAAAGTCAGCATTTATATTCAGAATTACATTTATTTTCTGATTGGAATTATGAACACTACCTATGTATTTTCTAGAGTAATTAGAGGGATCTAATTGAATAAAAATACCAATGAAGGAGTCATAAATATTATTTTATATATGCAATAAACACCAAAGTACCATTGTAAACATTTTGATAAATTTTATTCTCAGTTTTCCTTTCTTTGATTTTTCACCTGACAAATTTGAATTTTTGTGAGTTTAGTGCACTTTTCTGTGTATATTATATAGGGTGTTTCATGTGCCATCTCTCGTGGGGAGATTTCTCACGTAAAAATAAGATTTATTTTTTATATCAACATAGGTCGATTCTGCTTTGTTTCGTAGCTACAAGGTGTTAAAGTCTTAATAATCTTTCGATTTATTATAATTTTCTTTCAAGTACTTTTAGTGATTCGAATGAAATATTGAGGGTAAAAGTTACTATAAGTGCTACATATTTTAATGCTCAAAAAGTGTCGATAAATTCATCAGGGACGTGCATATGGATTATCACTGGAATATTTTTCAAAATGTGCGCCACTGTCAAATCAAAAAAATGTGCGCCACTGACATTTTTTCTTTTGATATCAGAATTGTGTAGGCCGTTTAATGCCAATTAAAAGTTATCCCTTGATATTTGTCGAATTCGACTTCCTTGATGAGATAAACGCAATTTTATTAATCACACAATTAATAAAATTAAAATAAAATTAATAAATTATATATTTTACCCAATTTATTATTAAATATTATTACTATTAGTTATTATTACTATTAGTCCAACCTACAGCAATTTCAAATAAAAAAATAATGGTATTTAAGATAATTAAAAAAAAACTAATTTTAAGAAGTTTTAACATCCTCTAACTCTAAAACTAGAGATGAGCAGAAAATCGCAAACTGCGATTTAATCGCAGCGATTCTAAATTCGCAATCGCAACCTGTGATTCCTTTCCATAGCAAACTGCGACTTGCGATTGAAACAAATATCTGCCGATTTTGGATTTTTAGGCAACCAATATTACACCAGTTGCGATTTGCAATCGCAGTGGGCACGCGAACGAAGAGCTGCGAACGAAAATCACAGCATTGCGATTTTCGTTCGCACCGGCATTGCATCGACACGGCACTGAGAAGCCGAACGATGAGCTGCGAACGAAAATCGCAATATTGCGATTCTCGTACGCCCCGGCCGGCGGCGGCGCGTTTTCAACATGGCAGTGGACAGGCGAACGAGGAGCTGAACGAAAATCGCAGCTCATGCCAGCATTGCGATTGCGATTTTCGTTGGCACCGGCGCGGCATCGGGAGTGGGCACGCCAACGAAGAGCGGCGATTGCGATTTTCGTTCGCAGCTCCCAACACATCGGCCTAGACTAGATCGCAAAATCACATTCGCAATCAGGGCCCCGTAATTTTATGAAGCGTTGGAAAATAGCTTATATATGTTTATATACCGCATAATATATATAATTTATTAGTTTTAAATTTTGATAATAGTTTTAGATTTATAATATAATTATGGATTGAGAAGGTTAAAAAATTCTTGTTTTCGGTTATGACTAATTATAGTTACAGTTGCTCCCCGGTAATGATTCAGGTAAAATGATTCATAAGGACAGTTTTGGATTCAAATTATAAAAAATTATCTATTTTTATCCTTTATTTACTAGAAGATATAGAGCACGGAAAAGAAACATCCCTTTTTATTTATTATATTTTGTTATATATTATATTATTATAAACATTTTTATAACAATCCATAATATAATATAATTTTCTGAATATACTAACAGTTGTGGATCCGCTGCTATGTTAATTTAAATACATCCTTTACAATCAGTTTTTTCATTTTAGAGAAATTTTAAATATAAAATGTGATATTGTCCTTTTATTTATCTAAAAGTTCGAAAGTTTGCACTTGCACTGGACGGGCCGTATCAAAGCCGTCGGCGTCGGCTTCTTTTGAGTTACATATAAAGAAAATGTTTTTAAAAGAAAACAAGATAAAATAAACAGTTTTTTTTTCTAGTTATCTGAATTAAGGTTGGCGGCAACTTTTTTTATAATAAATTTTTCGTTAGTATACCTACTGTCTAAAAGCACATTCGAATATTTTGAACATTTTATGTATTTTTAATTTCCCTTTTAAATTTATTCGGTCTGTTCTAATCAAAAATGTTTAAAAAAAGGAAACTAAGTTATTTGTGGATTTTTTTTGGTAGGTAATTGATGAAAATTTTAAGTGCAATATGTGTGCAGCAAAAATATCATAAAAACACGTACTACAAATTTTAAAGGCACATGGCATCGAAACACCCAACAGTTTCTTTGTAAGTTCTTATTAAAAAAATTATTCCGCTATTTATTCTGTTTTTTATTAGAAATTTTGGGATTGAGCTTCCCAGATTACAGCGTACCAATTTAAAAATATCAAAATCCCAATCGCAGGTTACAGTCGCAGCGATTTATATATCACAATCGCAGTTTCAACTGCGATTGGAAAATCGCAGTTTTGCTCATCTCTATCTAAAACTATGCATTTCCATACCCATGTTTATAGGAACTTTTTTTTAATATTTTTTGATGAGAAATCAATGAGTAATTATTTAAAACTTTCGCAAGTTAATGATATTAGTTTTATTTACAGGTTGCTATTAGAATTGAATCCAGGCAAATTAATAAAATTGCGTTTATCTCATCAAGGAGGCTGAAACTGATAAAATATCAAGAGACAACTTTTAATCGGCATTAAACTGTTTACTTGTTAACTTCGCTAATAAGTGAAAAAAGTCAGTGGCGTACATGCTTTTTTTCAGAAAAATTTTCCAGTGATAACCCATATGCTCGTCCTTGGTGAATATGTCGACACTTTTTAGCTTTAAAAAATGTCGCATTTATATTTATCTCTATATCCTTTTATCCTCAAAATTTCATTCGAAACGCTAAAACTACTTGGAAGAAAATTATAATAAATCGAAAAAATATTAAGAATTTAACACCCTGTAGCTACGAAACAAAGCAGAATCGGACCTATTTGATATAAAATATAAATCTTGTTTTTATGTGCGGAATCTCCCCACGAGAGACGGCACATGTTTTTTGAAACACCCTGTATAATTCTATAAATTATATACCAAGTGTATAAATCATCTAGAAAGATATTTGTCATAACTTTAATTACAGTGATTATTATTTTAAGTTTTAGAAAACAGGCTCGAAGACACTTCAGCAGCGTATGAAAAATAAAACTTTTCATGTTTTTGGTTATATTATATCTATAAGTAAATCATTCAATAAATAAATTCGTTTACAGTTGACAAATTTTAATTTCATTCTTACAATTAATATTTTTGACAAGTAGAAATTATCTAAAATATTTAAGATACCTACCCTCTCGGCAAGCGAAGTCTTGGGTCGGTGTCCATATGTTTATGAGCGAATCGCTATGGCGATCTAGTAAGTCGGAGAGAGAAAAATGTGAAGTGCGAAGTATTTTTTACCTAACTACTTAATAGCCTCCCACCTCCCATACACCGAGAGGTCCAGCCTGCGGTTTTTATATAGATAAACTGCCGCATAGAAAGAAAGAGCGTTACAAGTCCGCCGACGTTATCCTTCGTTCGTTTTTTAGGCAAATCTAATCTCACAGGCCAAGCTCACGGATTTTGTGGTCTCTATGTCTCTATCTCTACTCCTTAACTAGTTTTTTCATTCAACGATGTGCGTAAATACTAGACACTAGAGGAGCAAAACTGCGATTCTCCAATCGCAATTCAAACTGCGATTGCGATTTTAATATTTAAATATTGTACTAGGGATATAATATTGTCTGTGTAAAGAGGGTGTCCCAGGCTGAGCGTGCATTAGAAGTTTCTAGAGAACCACAATATCTAGATCGGAGATTTTTTGCACATCATTGTTTTACAACGAGATCTATCGATTAAAAATATTTTCAATATGGCGGCACTTCCGGAAATACCGGAAGTTGACGACAACTTTCTTATTTTAAATAGCCACCCCTATTTTTTATTACATATTTACATTCTCTGTAAAATTTTATGAATATTGATGTTAAACACTCTATATCTAACATTAACCGTTTTTGAGAAAAAAAAATATTTAAAATTTTTGGACGAAAAAAACTACCTGTCAAAAAAATTTGTATAGCCTAAAAGTCAAATTTAGTTATTCCTACAGCTACTGTGACATAAAGAGAAGACATGTAGCTATCTATTTCAAAAATTAAATTGTTCAAATGTCATATGATAACGGAGGTAGCTGTCAAGGAATTGAGCGATTAAAAAGTTATCATAAATCATTTTTTTCAAATGAAAACCCACTTTTTTTTATTTCCCTAGTGAAAAGATTTTACAATTCGTTACTTTTCAACTATACATGTTCCTATACCAAAAATAAATCGTTTTTAAGTTATTTAAGATTTAGTTTGAAAACGTTAATTTTTTTTTATTTTATCTAGCTTCCTTTGACATTAAGTGTCAAAAAGTCAGACAATTTATTTCCATCTGTCAGAAAACAAATTATTTGAATTTCTTATATTGTAAATACTGTTGCCTTAAAAGTAAAAAAGTGTATTTATAAAAATATATCTCGTATTTTCGCTCCTGAGTGATATCTAGTACCTAGTTGATATTATTAATTATATTAATAATGTACGGTATTATCCCTGAAAAAAAAACAACGCAAAGTTGGCTTGCAAATGATGATCGATAACATACTGCTTTTTGAACAAAGTGTCACAATATGACATGGCCAAAGATCTATTGTTTATTGTTATACATCACTTGACGTTTAAAGTCATAGGCTACTGGTTAAAATCAAGAAAAATATACGCTTTAAAACTAAATTTTAAATAACTTAAAAACGATTTATTTTAGGTATAGGAACATGTATAGTCAAAAAGTAACGAATTGAAAAGCCCTTTCACTAGTGAAATAAAATAAGTGGGTTTGGTTTGGAAAAAATGATTTTTGATACATTTTTAATATCTCAATTCCATGTCAGCTGCAGCCATTAATATATGACATTCAAACAATTTAATTTTTGAAATAGATAGCCACATGTCTTCTCTTTATGGCACAGTAGCTGTGGTAATCACTAAATTTGACGTTTAGACTATACACATATTTTTGACAGGTAGTTTTTTTCGTCCAAAAATTTTAAATATTTTTTTCCTCAAAAACAATTAATGTTAGGTATAAAGTCTTTGATATCAAAATTCATAAAATTTTACAGAGAATTTAAGTATGTAATAAAAATGCGGGCACCCATTTAAAATAAGAAAGTTGTCGCCAACTTCCGGTATTTCCAGAAGTGCCGCCATATTGAAAATCTTTTTAATCGATAGATCTCGTTGTGAAACAATGATGTGAAAAAAATCTCTGGTCTAGATATTGTGGTTCTCTAGGAACTTCTAATGCACGCTCAGCCTGGGACACCCTGTATACCTATAGCTTAACAGTTACAAAAAGTTAATAAAAATCAGTTATTTAGTTTTTAAGTTTTTTTTAACATATGACATTTTGACTTGAAGATATGATTAAAAATACGATTTGGGCATCTTTTAAATGGCCAGGACAATACACGAAAAATAATAGACAATTAAGTCTTTTTTTTTAAGGATCCTTGAAAAGTTAGTGTTTTTAATTAGTGTTTTTAAATTTAAAATACGATATTTTTTTAAACGTAAATGTCAAAAGTTGACATATGATATGCCATTCCATTATAATATCATTTTCTATCGAACAAAATAAAATAAATACCGAGGGTGCCATTTAAAAATCAAAAGTTGTAGTTATTTCCGGTGAAACAGGAAGTTATCGAATCGAATTGAATACATCAATCAATCCTAATTTATGTCATATGCTAACATACCAAACCTGTTTTTTTTTATCAGAAAGATAGCTATCTTTTAGAACGATATTTTATCAGAAAGATAGATCAGCCTTAGAAAATAATATCTTCTGTATAAATAAATAAAATCAGATAAAAAATTCAATCGTAGTTTACTATAAAATGCTTCAACGGGCCATTGTTACCAATTGCAGTCGCAACAAAATCGTAACTCCTAAAAATTCAAACTCGCAAATAGAAGGTTATCACGGTCCTTATTTACAAAATCACAATCGCAGCAAAATCGCAAATCGCAACTAGAATAATATTGGTTGCCTAAATTGAAACTCGCAAATAGAAGAAATCGCAGTCGCTGTTTTCTATGAGAGCCAGTCGCAGGTTGCGATTGCGATTTTAAAATCGCTGCGATTGAATCGCAGTTCGCGATTTGTTGCTCATCTCTAGTAATAGTTAACATTATAATCGGTAAAAAATCTTCTTAGTTAACTCTGTAGTTAAGAAAGAGGTTAATGATCGTCCCAGCTTACCTGCATCTGTTGTGCTTCTACAGTCGACGCGACGAGAATCAATACACCTGTAACTGTAAAAAAGTGAAAATTGTCTTATAATGCGAACAAGAGAAATGCAAACGTAAAAAATGGCCTTTATTAACCTTGGCACCGCAACAAATTTTTGGTTCGTCCATACTTTAAAAATTAAGGATTCAAAAAAAATAATTTTCAAATAAATTATAATCATTTCTGTATAGATTTCAAGTGTCAATTTACAATTTATTATATAATAGTATGTAATTAGGTTAGAAACGTAAAGAGAAGCAGAAAGAAAACTTTAAAGCCCCGTTCTCAGAACTGCGTCGTGTCGCGGGCGACACAGATTGACATTTCAAACAACCAATGGGAGCTGTACTAAATTTAAAATTGACAGCTGTTTGAATTTTGTACAAATCTGATTGGTTCTCTTGACGTGTCGCTGGCGACAGTCGCAGTTCTGAGAACGGGGCTTAACAGATGGTTTGCGTACAGATTTTTTTTCTTTATAATTTAGCATTGGTAAGATTAGTAATGTCGAATACATGTGACAATTCAATAAAGACAATAAGGAAATTAAATGGTGCACTTACTACATAAACATATCTTCCATCTAACAGGCGGCATATTCTGAAAATAGAAAGAAAACAATATTTAGAAAATATATAAATTACTTCTACATTATTTTATGTTTTTATTTTGTATATCTATTACTGTTTTTTTTTAAATAATTGAGAATATGTATAGAAAGTTATAAAAGTCTACCACAACTCCCCTAATTTAATATTTCATAAATATATATTTGATATCAATTAAACTTTTAGTTACGTAATGGCGCGATTTTTAAATTCATTGTTGTCAACAGAACTATGGACATATTCGGAGCCGCGCCGGGTTGACTAACTGGAACTAAATTTCAGGTTGTAGCTCTGCTGTAAAAAATGTGAAGTTGTCACATTTATTTATTTATTTTCTGACATTGTCATTCGTTTTGACACTTTAGTTTTATATTACGAGTTTTTGGTTTAAATAAATAGCGTTGTGATACTTTCAGCTTAATTAATGTTTACTAGCAGACCATGCAGTCGAACAATGTTCTTTTTAGAACCTCTTTTAGTGCGAAGTGGTACAAGATAACTTAATAGCCGTAAAAAACTTATCGCAACTTTATTAGAATATTTTGAACGGGAAAGCGGTAGTAATGACCCTTTATGCCCCTTAAGTGCTGTTAAGAATGTGTGTTTTGTTGATGCAAATAATAACTGTTTATATATTTATAATTAATTTATTTTTGTTTTCTAAAATATTTTGATTAAAAGAAAATATATAAAAGTGGGTAACTACTAGTAGGCGTGACTAAAAGTTTATTAGGTATGAACTATATTTATAATATTTATTTTTCTTTAAAGTTCTTAGTATATTATTATACCGGGTGCGTCTGAAAAGTGGCTCACCCCTATAACTTTTTTATTTTTTCAGATAAAAAATCGAAATTTGGTATATTAATATTTGACATATATTAGGATTGATTGACGTATTCAATTTTTTTCTGTTACTTCCTGTTTCACCGGAAATTACTACAACTTTTGATTTTTAAATGGCACCCTAGGTATATTTTTACTTTATTCGATAGAAAATGACGCTCTGAATAGAATGACATATCATATGTCAACTTTTGACATTTTAGCACGGCATATAAATCACACGGCAGGCCAACTCGCTTTGGCGGGAACGCTACGCGCATATCCTAGCGCACGCCGCCATTATGGGTGCCAGCAACAGAAATTAACCAGTGTCGTAGTCAGTCGTAGTCTTTGTCATCGAGAACATACAGTTACGGCGGCTTTGAGTCAGTAGCGTGCGGCTTAATTTATTTCATTCTTTTCTTGAGTGATATATATATTTTGTTTTTTTATTTTTGTTTATTGTGTGTGATATATTTGGTTTTTGTAGTTTAGTAGTACAATGGAAGTCCGAAGTTCTTTTAGTTTTAATACTCAATCATTGCCTACGGCATTCAAAGTAATTTTTATTATTAGGTATCCTGCAAAATGACAAACAAGATTCATTTCTAAATTACTGTTTTTCTGATTATCCGTATCTATTTTTAATTTTCAGTACCCGTTTTTTACACAAAGTACACAAAGTTTTTTAAATGTTCTTCTAAACTGGATGAATTTATCCTGGATGGGAATAATGATAGGTTTACAAGATTTTGGCATTACAAGAATTACAGGAATTGCAAGATAAAGTTGTCGTACCAGATTTTTATGAGTGCAACTGTACACTCAAATCTCGCGACAAGCTTTTATATAATATAAAATTCTGTAATGACGTTATAAGTCCATAATAAAAGTTAATTTTTTTTCTTTTTAATGTATTTAAATAAAACCTTGTTTTTAAAAAGTTTTTTTTCTTAAATTTATTTTTTACTTTTTAGTTATTCTGGTTTCTTAGTACCACACACTTAAACTCTATTCATTTTCTTAAATAACTTCCTATGGGCATTCTAATAATATGTATATCGATTTTCATTAAAAAAGGAACACTTAAAATAACGACAGCTGTTAAATTTGACAGTTCAAATAAAATGAAAACCGACTATGGGGTAGGGAGCATCCAATATATCGATTTTTATCAAAATCGGACAATTCATTTGTTTAGATAAAAGTATTGTGTAAATAAAATTTAGTTTCAGTCAATTACAGTATTTTTTTTAATACGACCCTGTCTATCAATAGTTTATTTTCTGGGAAATTTTTTGATACGTTTTAATCCGGCCCTGACTCGGCACCCATAATGGTGTTTTCAAGGGCAAATTTTATAGAAATTTAAAACTATGGGATCTGAGCAGAGTTAGCCTGCCGTGTGATTTATATGCCGTGATTTTAGCATATGGTTTATTTGAAATTGTATTTCAAATTGCGGTTCATAACGACAATTTGACTCGAAATACCAAGCGTGTGGTACCAAATTATTCATAAAACAATAATTTTTCCAAATATGCTAATGAGCCACCCTCGTTCCATTTGAAAAAATTGAGATATGATTAAAAATTAGTGTTTTTAACACAGGCACTCTAGATTGAAATTCAAAATATCTACAATATTTTTAAACAAAAATGCCAAAAATAAATAAAATAATAAATAAAGTAAAAAAAATACCTAGGGTGCCGGTGCCATTTATAAATCAAAAGTTGTAGTCACTTCCGGTAAAACAGGAACTGACGAAAAATAATTGAATACGTCAATCAATCCTAATTTATGACATATACTGCATACCAAATCTCGTTTTTTATCGGAAAAAATTCAAAACTTATAGGGGTGAGCCACTTTTGAGACGCACTCGGTATAGTATCATTGGTTATAATTTTATCTTGTGTTTTTTTAATTGGGTTAGGACCTAAAAATCATCAACAGAAATTCTTTGCTGGACCCCTCTATACCACCCGTATAATGAAAATGGCAAAGAAAGTTAGGTACCTATTTATTAGATTTAAATTGACTAAGGAAGACTTCTAACTAAGGACTGCCAGCTTTAAATTGTCTTGAAGATGCAAATAAATTTTGCGAAACGTAGACTAATTTAAAACAAAAAATTTCTGTTGAGTTTTTTTCAGTCCTAACCAATTAAAAAAAACAGTATAAATTATTTTGGAAGATTATAGGTATAAAAATAAACTTTGAATAAAAGGAATAATTATTAATAATATAATAACTAATATCTGAATCAATAAACTACAATATTTGCTATAAAAATTAGTTTTTTGTCTTGGATATAAAATGAACCACCTCCACTATCCGGCCAGCGCGGCGAGGCGTGACTGCCAGGTTCGACTTCGAAGTAGGGATGTCAATCCCGAAAGGTTTTCAAAATCCCGGGATTTTTGAGATTTGAAAGACAAATCCCGGGATATAATCCCAGGTTTAAAATTATCAATGAAGTACCTAATATCATAAAAAAATTTAATATAAATATAACAGAACACAAAAATTAAAAAAAAACTCTTTAAAAAAATCATATGAACACCAAACAAATTTTAGCAAACAAATTATAGCTACAAATTTTTAAAAAAATAGCGCAAAAATATTAATGCATCCAAAGTTTCATTCCTTAAGCGGCCCATACATTATCAAACAAATTGCGCAACGCAGGCTGTTGCGCAACGAGTTGCCAATGTATGGTAGTGTTTGATGCGTTGCGCAATTGTTTGATGAGTTTCAAGAATGTTTGAATTCTGTTGTGCAACAGGACTGTTTGCGCAACGCGTTGTGTAGTGTATGTATGTGTTGCGCTTCGTTGTGCAATATTTTAGTTCTTTCATCCAAATTCTTTGTTTTCTTTTTCGTTTTTTGGTATCATCGACATCATCTAGGATATATACGATAAAAATTGACGTAATGACAATTGAGGACATGATTGTTTCTCAAACAATGCACAAATTTTAATAAAATGTTTCATCAAAATTTTACTAAGTGCATGGGTGATGCAGTTGTGCAACGGAACGTTGCGCATCGCTTTGTTGCGCAACATGTTTGATAGTGTATGGACCGCTGAATCAGTTGTGCAACGCAGCGTTGCGCATCGCTTTGTTGCGCAATTTGTTTGATAATGTATGGGCTGCTTTAGTCTTGAACGTATCTTATTATAAAAGATCCCTGTCGAAGAAAAACATCTTTCAGATTCCACGCTGGTGACCTGAATGGTTGATAAAAATGCAAAAGCTTTTTGGAGATATGTCCCCGACTACCACCATTTGAAAATAATTCAATTTCTTGGGTAATAATGTCGGACAATTGCGTATTATTAATTCTTTTGGTTTTTATCGGCTTTGAAGATTGTTGTAATCCAATTCCGGGATTTTTCGACAATTTTTTTTCCGGGACCCGGTATTCCGAGATCCCGGGATTGACATCCCTACTCCGAAGTCGAATACTTTTAATTTAGACCGGCCCGTGTTGATCTCTAGTTCTGGATACAATCATTCTCCGCATAACACATCCCATCCACATTTAAAGACATGGAAGGTTACTTCTTGCATAATCTCAGATTCCTATTCGTAATTAATAAAAATGACAGCGCCATCTTCATTTCCGCGCCGTCTCTGTCTGTATGGTACTTTCCAACATAAGACATTGTAAAAATTTGTCGTTCTAAAACGTAAGTGGTTCATGAAATTACTAGATACGAGTTAGTCCCAGGTCGGTAAGTGGCGAAATAAAAATTGTTCTCATAACGTGTTTTTCTGTTTTTCCTTAAATTTTTTGAAACGTACAATTTTCGTGTCTCGCGACTTTGGAACTTTCTACGCCGCTGCCTGGGACGTGATTGGTACGGTTGGATGCGGTTGCATGTTGTATACTACTCTAATAAAGAGAAGAAAGCATGTCATCGGCTTCCCTTTTTCCTAGCGATGGAAATGGTTTATATTAAATTGAGTGAAACTTATTTAGATTTAGATGTGTTCGTATTACGGTATTATCACTGGCGCATATTATAAATAGTAATATATGTACAGTACGGCTGTTCATTCTGTAGCTACGGGGTATCCGTGAGAGGGGAAACGATATTCTCTCGATGTTTTTCGTAAAAAAATAGACGACGCGTCCCATCAATAAAAATTCGACAAA